TTCTTGGCAGTAGAGGAAGTGTCTTCCTCTGAACTTTTTGCTGTTTTCCTTTTTTTAGATGCAGTGTTTTGTCCATATACTTTAATATTTTGGTTTATTTTTTGATGCATAACCATTTTTGTTTGTCATTTTGAGCCTTATCCCTTTTTTGGTGGATTTTACTTAATTGTACTCATGGTGTCTAATAGCAAGGCTCTATGTAGAGAGGAGGTCAAAATCACAGTTTTTCCTCTCTGCCTTGGTAGTCTCTTTTACAGTGAATGCTTTGGTAATGGAATGATAAACCTTGGTGATACATTTTAAAATGATTTTATATTAAGATTGCTAATAGAAGCAGTTAAAATGCTGGAGGAAGTGGACATTCTGCTGGTAAATTAAGATGATTGCCTTGTAGAAGCAATTATATGGATGTTAAAAACAATTAGATTGCTGATAAAAGCAGATATTTGGGTTGTGGGTACCATTCAATGACTGGTACTTACAGATAGATGGCTGACAGAAGCATAGAGGTTGCTAGTAACAGTCAAGCCACATGAATCAGCAACAGGGTTTTGTGTCAATGAAAGTAATAATAGTAGTTTCTACTACTAGAAAGTCTGCTTTGAAAAAAATATTTCTATTACTTTACCATATGCCTGCATTTTGAAAGCTGTTTATGGCATTTGTCATTGCGGCATCTTCCAGGTAGGTCAAGCCAAAAAGGGCAGCTATTTCAAATTGAGTGCCCACGCACCAAGGATTTGTTTTCAACCATTTCCGTATTTTATGGTTAAGTAAGTGCTAATTGGCTTCATAAGAGCCAAATCCAAGGGTTACACTTGATGTGTGCAATGAGGAGGTAAGCACAGAAATATTACACCATACTCTTTTGCAATGTTAATCAATTCAATACTTTTAATAGGAGATTTATGTCCATCTAAAATAAGTAAAACTGTAGAGCTTACTTTGGCCCGCTGAATATTAAATAAATTTTTTTAACCAAACAATAAACAATTCTTTTTATATCCACCTGCTTGAGCCCAGGCACCAGAGCAAATAATTTCTGTGAAAAGGTGACCCCTATCAGCTGAAGCACACATCGAGAGAATCTCTTCCCTATGGTTGAAACAATTTTAGAGAGACACTTTGGAACTGTAGAAACATCTGTTTTTTCACAATTTCAGATATATATATATATATATATATATATATATATATATATATATATATATATATATATATATATATATATATATATATCAACATATGTATATACATATATATATATAAATACATATATATATATATATATATATATATATATATATATATATATATATATATATATCAACATATATATATATCAAAATATGTATATACATATATATATATATATATATATATATATATATTTATATATATATATATATATATATATATATATATATATATACATATATATATATATATCAACTATATATATATATCAACATATGTATATACATATATATATATATATATATATATATATATATATATATATATCAACATATGTATATACATACATATATATATATATATATATATATATATATATATATATATATATATATATATATATATCAACATATATATATCAACATATGTATATACATACATACATATATATATATATATATATATATATATATATATATATATATATATATATATATATATATATATCAACATATATATATCAACATATGTATATACATACATACATATATATATATATATATATATATATATATATATATATATATATATATATATATATATATATATATATACATATATATATATACATATATATATACACATATATATATACATATAAATGGGCAATTACACAAGAAAGAAGGAAAAAAAAAAACAAAAAGTTATGAAAACACATACTAAACTCCATAACTCTTTCTTTTAACTATTTAAAAATGATTTTAAGCAAAAAAGTAACTTGAAAAAATCATTTTATCATACCATTGCATGGTTTTAATGTTGTATAAACATGTTATGCCACTTATTTACACTTCTGTTGTGTATAGGGCATATCGGATCTGGCTAAAAAATCAGGATCCGGTTCCGGATCCTACCCAGGTATTTGGGATTTGGATCCGGATCTAAATCCGGATCCAACTTCATCATAAAAACAAAACAAAAAACTATTTCACACAAAGAGATTTTATTAATTTTAAGAATTGTGTGAAATTGTGTGAAAAACTTTTGTAGCTTTTCATATTTGCAATTTTAGTTTCAATTTTTATCACTTCTATTATTTTTATAGTAACTTTTTAAGAAGCATGAGGTATTGATAGTGTTATCATTTAAGCAACTCCTAAGTTTGGTTTCAAACAATCGGCACGCACTAAAAGCTCTTTCACTCAACAGATGTTGGTTGAATAGTTTTTAAACACTGAAATAAAGTCTCTAAATTTGAAGTACGTTTTTTTTGTCGAATCAAAGACAGAAAACTCTTTATTGAGAAAGTTTATGTTGATATCTTTATTAATGAAATCTTGTTTTAATTCACTTTGTATAACTTTTTCTAACTGTATTTTGATATCAAAATTTTCTTCTACTGTGTTTTCAAAATCAACTTCACTATCTTCTAAACATTCTTCTTCGACTGTTTAAGGTAAAAGATTTAGTAAAAGATCTTTAGCTAACAATATAACTGCTTTTTTTTTGGCTTTACTCCAAAAGCATCTAAAGTACCAGATAATAATAAACTAGGTTTGTTTTAATATTCCATAAGGTGAATCAAAGTAGGATTTCTTATGCTTAAAGTTCTTGTTTTTAATGCTTCATATAAGTCCTTGCTTATGTCAGAATCATATGATTGTAGTTGGTTTAAAACAAAACTAAAGATTTTTTCTGCAGTAAGCAAATTTGAGTCTCAACGGCAAAGTGCTTCAGCTCCTAATTTTACAGGTTTTAAAGCCTTAGCAAAATCTTTAGGAATTTGCAGCTCTGACGATATTGTCATTGGAGACTGCACTTCGATAACAGCCATTTTAAAGCATTTGCTTAACTTGACAAAACAATCAATCATATCAAATAATGAGTTCTAACGTGTCTTGCAGTCTTAAATAGGTTTAAATTCATGTTCTAATTCTAATTTTACATGCTTCTGCAACATATCATAATTTTTTACAGGTGATTTTTTAAACAATTTTATTATTGTGCAAACAATCATCAATAATATCGTTCTGGTCTAAAATTTTTGCTGGTTTTAAATAAAGTACATTCCCTACTGCCAAATGGATTGCATGGGTATAGCAGATGTGATGTAGTGGCTTGATTAAACGTCCAAATTTAACCATAACAGATGCACCGTCTGTAGTTGTACTAACAATATCATAACTAAAATTTAGTTTAAATTCTCTCAACCTTTTACTCACTATTTCAACCATTTTTTCAGATAGCATACACCCAACAACACGTACAAGACCAAGATTAAAAAGGCTTTTATTTGTGTGCACATTAATGTTCATATAACGACGCGTTTTAATTGAAGTGTATTTTCATCAGCAATTAAGCTAAATCTCATGTTGTTAGCTTTTATTTCTTTTAATTCTGATGCCAATTGAGTCTTAATGCCTTTATCATGAGCCAGTAAAATATTTCTAATAGAAACTGAACTTGAAGGTATTTTGTGTCCTTTGGCTAAAGCAAATTCTCATAATCTCTTACTTTTAGCAACAGTATTAAATAAAAGTCCATCAATCACAATGAGATCTGTTAATATAGTGGCAATGGTATCTTTTGTTTGTACAAAACTTCTGATATCTTTTTGGAATGAACTTTGGACTACTTTTGTTGTAGGTAATAATGGCAATTCTATTTTATGTTTTATCTTTAAATGCTTTCGCATCACACTAGTACAACCTCCTTTTATTGTTACAATACGTTACGGGTTTTGCATTTGCAGGTTTACTTAATGTTCATATAATGACGCGTATTTTGCACTTTATGAAATGCTGTCAAACAGGAGTATTGCTAGTAAATTCTTGAAAAGTCATTTTAAAATTGGCTTTTTAAAAATTGTTTTGATATAAAGTAATGCTTTTAAGTGTAAACATATTGACAAGCTGTTGTACGCGGATTTAACAACATAAAAACTAATGTTTTGTACAAATACTTGGAAACCGAATACCCGAACAAAATAGATCCTGGTCCAGATCTTAAATTTAGGACACCGGTACCTAGGTATTCAGATCCGGATCTTGGATCCGACTATGCCCTAGTTGTGTAGCATTAAAAATCAAATCATATGTCAATAATTATAACACCAATATAAGCTAAATACACACACCAAATGTTTTTTGTTTTTTTTACCATGCTGTTTGCTGCAATAAGTCTGACAAAGTTGTTTAGTTCAGAATTGATAAAAGGTAAGCGTTATGATTGCCATGCTACATAGAGGCAATTTTTGAAAAAAGTTCAAGAATTGAATTCTGTAACTTGTACATACTAAATTTTATGATAGTATTTCACATTTTTGGAAAGTTTTTAGTCATTTCCATTTTCAGTTCATTTTTAATAACTTAAAGAGTGTCAAATGTTATGACCGCCATTCTCGTGGAATTCCCCATATAAAGGGTGTTTTTTTAGAGGTATAGAACTTTAAGTTGGCATTACTGTTCAAGATGGCGACCGATTTAACAGGTGACAAATGATTTATTCTCAGTTTGGTTTGGCAATTCATCATGAATAGACTCACGCCTGAACAACGCTTGCAAATAGTTCAATTTTATTTCGAAAATAATGGTTCCGTGCAGAATACATATCGCGCACTACGTCCATTTTATCCTCGACAAAATCGCCCATCAGAGCAGTTAATTCGATTAACCATGGAACGTTTTTGCACCACGTTTACTCTTATTGATAACTCGCATCCCCAGAGACGCCGTACGGTGCGTACAGAAGCTATTGCTACTGTAGAGCGTAGCATTGTGGAAGACCCGAATGAGTCCATCCGCCATCAAGCACAGGAATTGGATCTGTGTCTATACACTGTATGGAAGATTTTGCGGAAGGATCTTGTAATGCGTGCTTACAAAATCCAACTCGTGCAAGAATTGAAGCCAAACGATCATCAAGCAAGGCGTAGATTCGTCGAATGGGCCCAAAACGAGATTGCCGTTGTTCCCGATTTTCATAAGCAAATTTTCTTTAGCAATGAAGCGCACTTCTGGTTGAATGGTTACGTCAACAAACAAAACTGCCGCATTTGAAGTGAAAATAATCCTCAAGTGTATGTCAAAACACCGTTACATCCAGAAAAACTGACTGTTTGGTGCGCTTTATGGGCTGGTGGAATCATTGGTCCGTACTTCTTCAAAAATGATGATGGCCAGAAGGTTACAGTCAATGGTTTTGGACCTGTGAATTGGCCTCCAAGATCTTGTGATTTAACACTGCTAGACTACTTTCTGTGGGGCTATGTAAAGTCATTGGTCTATGCGGATAAGCCACAAATTTGGAACCATTTGGAAGACAACATTCGGGGTAAAATGAGAAATACCCCATTATGTCCCGTATTTCATACCCCATTATGACCCATTAGTGATGTATTGCTAAAAAAAGTGCCACAACGAAGAAAAATTCACATATTTCAAAATTCAAAAGTTTTAATAATAACCAGTTCTATATTAGTTAAATGCAATATTACTTACACCATATCACATGAAATAATAAAATTCTCCATCATATAATAGGTAAAATTACATTGAAGTTCATTTTAAGTCATATTGATTTTGTCAAGACAAATTTTGGTAAAATTTCAAACTAATACAACTAATGATGGCATATTGTCACATGATAATTCAAAATTCAATATATATATATATATATATATATATATATATATATATATATATATATATATATATATATATATATATATATATATATATATATATATATTATATATATATATATATATATATATATAAATATATATATATATATATATATATAAATATATATGTGTGTATATATATATATATATATATATATATATATATATATATATATATATATATATATATATATATATATACATATATATATATATATATATATATATATATATATATATATATATATATATATATATATATATATATATACTTGGGTACTATTTGGGGCACTTTTGGGGGTGTTTTGACACTTAAGCGCAAGGTAATCTCAATTTTTTTTTTTTGTAATCTTATTTTCGTTATATTTGCCTAAAATTTAGCTTGCTGTGTATTCACGTTTTTAAAATTCTATTTTATTGAACACCCCTAGTATATATACATATATTGTATACTTATATATATATATATATATATATATATATATATATATATATATATATATATATATATATATATATATATATATATATATATATATATATATATATATATATATATATAGTATACATATATATATATATATATGCATATATATATATATATATATATATATATATATATATATATATATATATATATATATATATATAGTGTATATATATATATATATATATATATATATATATATATATATATAAGTATATATATATATATATATATATATATATATATATATATATATATATATATATATATATATATATTTATATATATATATATACTTATATATATATAAGCCTCCTCTTTCCGTCGTTTTTTCGCAAAAAAAACAATATTTGCTGTAAAAATGTAAAAAAACGTAAAAAAAAAATACATTTATAAAAAGAAAGGAATATAAAAATACAATACCTAGTAAAGGGAAGAAGACCATCAACTTGAACTTTTGTCACAGAAGGTTTAATGCAACATCTTATATCTTCTATTAACTGTGGCTGACTAAATAAACGAATTTGTAGTGAATACTCTATAAGTATTCCATTTATGGTGGTTGGTGGATCCCATTTTGCAAAGATAGATGAACTGTTCAACACTTCAATAAAAGGTGGCTGCACATTTTCAGGCACTCCTTCAAATGTTCTTACTTTACTCCATTCACTAATGGATTCTCCTTTGCTATTGACTGACCGCACACGGTACTCATACTCTGTGTAAGCAGTAAGCTGTGTATCAATATAGTCAGTTCTTAATCCAACATAGATTATATATGATACCATTGATGATCTTCTTTCAACTTGATAATTTAAAATTATACCATTAGGAAAAAGAGGTTGGACCCAAGAAATTTCAACTATTGTAGTACCTCTTGCAAAAAGAGTTGGTGATTGTTGACCTACAGGAGGTTCTTCAAGTGTTCTTACTGATGCCTTATCACTTGAACCACATCCAACAATGGTGCAAGCTTCAATTCTCACAAAGTACAATGTAAATGTTTTTAGTTGGGTAATCAAGACAGAAAAATTTAAACTAGCAGGTTTCTTTAAAATTAAGCTGTCTGACTCTTGATAGTACACAGTATATGAGATTAAAATTCCATTTGATAAAGCAGGCATGCTCCATGATACATTAATGGAACTAGATGACAAAGCATATAAATTAGGAAGTGCAATCCCTTGGGGTGTACTTTCAGGAGTACGCACAACTGTTATATTACTTTCAGTATACCCACCTAGCGTTGAAGCCCCAACTGTATAAATATAAAGTGTAGCTGGAAGAACACTAACATCGCTTAAGTTAAGTTGCATACCATTATAAATAACAGTTAAATTTCTTTTTAGCACATAAGAAAGAATAATACCATTGGGTGACTTGGGTGGACTCCATTCAAGCTCTACCATTCTTGCATTAATAATAGTTATCTGAGGTGGTAGTATACTTTCAGGGGCAGCTTGTAAAGTAGTTGCACTTGCTGAGGGGCTACTGCTACAACCTATAGATGTACATGCATAGACTTTAAAAGTATATGAATTATATGGTAGTAAACCACTTACAGTGAGAGACATCATTTCACCTATAGAATCATTTGGAATCAAAGACCTATATATGTCTTTAACTAGAATAGTCACATTATAAAAAATAATTTTTCCATTAGGATATGTTGGAGTACTCCAATTCACTTGTATAGAATTAGAAGATATAGCTTGTAATAATGGAGCTTGGACACCGACAGGAATAGCCTCCTCTGTATATGCAAGAACAGAGGCAGAAATATTAGTGCAGCTGACAGTGCATGCACTTAAAATATATAAATAACCAGTATATGGCTCCAATCCATCCATATCTAAAAATGAAAGTTGTAAACCACGATAAACTAGTCGCTCTTCTTTAGTAGACCACTTCAACCTATAGAGAATATATTCTGAAATTTGGCCATTGGGTTTATTCGGTAAAGACCATATCACAAATATCTTATCAGATGATAAAACAGTAGGAACAGGAGCCTCAAGGTTCTCAGGTTGACCCATTTCAGTTATAGACATGTTTAAAGCACTACTAGCATTTCCTGCATCATTAAACACAACAATGTAATACTCGTACTTCGTATGAGGCATTAGATGGTTATCAATGAATGTTAATATTGATGCATTTTGACTATTGTTTAATATCTCTGTAAAGTCTGATGGACATAAGTTGGATTGAAATGAACTGATTATTGGGTCATAGTCAGGTATAGTTATGTAACATGAATAATTTGATTTATTAAAGTTACAATTGTCACATAAGGACATTTTATTAGAACGTAAACAACTAGTACCATTTCCACACCCAGTAACACCATAAGTGCTGAGGTTAGCACAAATATCAGTCACATTGTTATATCCAACATAATTACAGCATAGTTCAGTAGAGTTTATATAGGTAGTACCACAGCATTTATGTTGATCAAAGGATGCTGAAGAATTGAAGATATATGCCTAATAACAAAAATAATAATTTAGCTTAAAATTAATATTTTTAATCTAAATCACAGAGATCATTTTATAACACTAAACAAAAAAAAATAAAAAAAAACACATTAAAAGCAACAACCAAGCAACACCTGAACTTCTCCAAAGCTATTAGTGCAGCAGAGTGTATTTTGAGAAACTAAATATTTTGTGCCACAACACATTTTTGAAGGATCAAAACCATAACCAACCCCTTGAATTTCATCACCACAGCAAACATCTTGCATTGAAATTGTTTTCCCTCCACAACATTTGATAGCTGTTGGCTGTCTAAAGAATAAAAATAAGGCTTTTATAAATAATATAGAAAATTGAAATCATATTTATAATAGAAAAATTATATTTTTAAATTTTAATTGTAAAAAATTGCAACATTTTTTCAATTTTTATCACTTAAAAATTAAACAATAAATTGCAGTCTATTGAATTATTTTATAAACTAATACCATATACTATAGTATTATTTGTGCAGTGTACATTTACTTGTCATCTTAAAATATTTATATGAGATTATGTTTTATTGTTATCTTTTTATGAGATGCATATGTTTACCTATAACCTATGTTTATAATACATCCTTTTGTTTAATTATAACTTTATAAACAAAATTTAACAAAAAAAAAATAAAAAACCACTTATAATGTTATGAGATAAATTACAAAGTTATTTAGAAAAATTTAAACCTGTCATAAAGGTTGCCACAAACACAAACTTTAGTTCCATTTATGCTATAAGGAACATCACTGCAGCAGCTGTCACCAATCCCAACAATAATTCCGTTATTTCCTGAACAACAAACATATCCATCTGGAACATGTGTATAATAACCATAACAACATTGATAATCAACTTGAAAAGGATAGAGAGAGTCCCCACAACAGATGTCGCTTGTAGTGTTTTTGATGGCATAATGATTATTGCAACAAACTTTCTGAGAATCTTTTTTATAAACTAACTGGTTGCAACAGACCTTAAAAAAATATAAAAAATAAATTATTATACCATAAAAAGAAAAAAAAAACTTTTCTTGATGCTGTTTAAGAAATTATGACAGCTCATCATTTAAATACATAAAAAAATTATAAAAATCATCCTTCTGTCTCTTTTACTTTCAAATTGTAAAAATATTTTTATTGACTATATAACCAATTAAAACTTATTAATAACTTATTAATACATCATCAAATATGTATTGGAAGATGCTCTTTAAAAAAGTGGCTTTATGATTTTGAATGTTCAGAGTTTGGGATACCAAGCTACTATTTTTGTCTGGGTTCTTGGGATCGCATCAAGACTTTGGGACTCCAGTATAATTTTCCTTTTTAGTTCTTAAGGTGCTCCAAAAAGAACAAAAGTTACAAAGCACAGCAGAAAAGCATTTAACCAGGGAGTTTACTTTTCTACTTAGCCAAGTTTGGCAATGGTTCGTAATTCACTAACATGCAGATATTTTTGAAATCATTTTCACAAGATTATCTACAAGTAAACATTTTTTAATGTCTAATTTATTTTTAATACAAATCATAACATGCAAAATGTTACCCTTCATTACTTGCTGTGACAATACAAAATACTTTAAGAAGTCCAATAAAATCATTTGATGCAATTAAATTGCGTTTTATGCTAACCGTTGGTAGAATTGCAACAAAATATTTTTTGAGCAAGGTAGTTTTGGTAATTATGTAAGTGGGCTTAGTCTTTGCATTTTCATACATTACAATTTACAAGATGTTTTATTAGCTTAGCAAACATTGGCTGGCTGTACACATGTTACAGTTTGTTTTAGAATTGAGTTCTATGTAAGAAAATGTTTAATTGCATTCAGAAAATTGCATTTAAAAAGTACCTGCATTTAGTTTCATAACCTTTCATGATAAAGTAAGTAAAATTGACATAAATTATTTTTTTAATTTTGGCTATAACAAACTTTTCAACATTTTATGAACCATTAGCATTTAAAGTTTCAATGACTTGTTTAACATGGAATAAATTATTATGGCAAATTATTTCTTGTCATTAGTTTTTTGCCTACTCCAGTTGAAAATTTGAAAAATACTTAATGAAAAATTGCTGCAAAAGTGTAAAGGTTTGAAAATTGCTTCAAAAGCGTAAAGTGAAACTGTTATTTAATTAACAAAATTAATGCCAAAAACTCCAATAGCATGACAAAAGTCTGACAAGCATACAAAATTTTCGACTTCAATAAAATAAGTTAATAAAAATTAAATCTGTTTTTAAATGTTAAAGTTAAACTAAAAAGCTAGAAAAACATAAACAAACATAAATGATGTCTTAATTAATTCACAAAAAACCTGTATAAGCTTATAAAAGCTTGTCATGATACCAATTTCCATAATTTTCGTTATACAAAAACAATTTTAGCAAGTGTGTATAAAAATTGGTTCTCAAATGAAGCCAAATTTTAGAAAATTTTCAAAAATAATAGTCATTTTATAGAATAAATAAAAAAAGTATTTATTAAAAATAAAACTTAAAAATAAGCACATTTTTCATTTTTAGTTAAAAAATCTCAATTTTATTGTAGTAAAACCAAAAGTAATATATATATTTTCTAAATAATAATTATTTTTGAATATTTTACACTATTTCGCTTCGTTTAAGACCCAACATAACATACTTTTAAAAAACTTCTTTTTTAATAATATTAGGGGCCCCTTAAATTTTCAAAGATCTTGGGGCACCTCAAGATAATTTCCTAAACCATTGGTATTTTTACAGAGTACTTATAATATGAATAAACAACTTTTGCACACCCAGGCTAAATGGTTTTAAAAAAAAATTAAGATTTACCGCACCATACACTTAAGTCTAACAAAATTAGAGATTAATTAAACATGCGCAACAATGAAATGATAGGATAATAAATTTACCTACATTGTGTTGTGGATCATAACAGCTTGCTCCACAGATGGCTTCATTGATTTTGCATTCTATATACAAACACTTTTTTGGTGTTGCCAGTCTATCATTGATAAATTATTAACTATTTAATTCAACACTAAAATATAGTTATTTTATTTTAAAATTTTTGATAATTAGTAAGATTTAACTTACAGTCCTGAACAGGTAAGGAAAGCTCGCCGAAAAACCTTATATCCTATTAAAACTCCATTTACATTTAAAGGAGGTTTCCAATTAATCTGAATAGAGGTTGATGATAAAGATTTTACAGATGGAGTTTCCATTCCTGATGGAGCTATAAAAAAGATACAAAAATTTTATATAACAAACTAAATTATTTATTTTAAAATTTATAAAACATTAATCTTCAAAAAGTAGTGCAATTTTATTAAGTTTTTTTTTGTTCATAAGACTACTAAACGTTAAGGTTCTCACAAAGAAAGGCAATCACCCTATTCACCCGATGATTCTGCACGTTACAAAATAATTACAATGGTATTATGTAATTAACATAATTATATAATGCAGTATAACAATTTATAGTAAATTTAAAACTTAAATGTGAAAAAATCATAAAACAATACATACTAATAAAATAATAATAATTTAAAATTATGAAAACAAAACACGAAAAAAAAAATATATATATATAACCCTTGGAATTAGGAAAAATGAGTCATCAGGCATCAGGTCAGCCAAATTTTTTGACACAAAGGGGTTACCTTTGTGTCAAAAAATTTGGCTAAGTTAAATAATATAATACAGAACAATATAATATATACAGTAGAATCCTGTTACCTCAGACTCTGAAGGGGTATATAATTATTGTCCGACAGCAAATGTCAGAATTAAGCAGCACTCTAATTAAGTCAGACTTTTTGAAAATGCCTGACTTATTGAGATTTTGAGACTTATCGAATGTTCTTCAATGTATAAATATTATCTACATATATATAAAACAACATAATATTATGTGAAATATATATTTTGATATATATAATATACACTATAAACGAAAAAAGTCTGGATTTGATGTTTGTTTTAGCGACTCGCACAATTCTTTTTCAAACAGCTTGGAAGCATTCAAAGCTACTCTTTCAATTTTACCATTCTGAATAAATATCGAAAAATTAACAAGGGTATCAATTGTTTTATGAACTTCTTCAATTGTTGGCTTTGTCACTGTTTTATCTGGCCTTTCGTTTCCATCTTCTTTATGCATTTCTTCTTCAACTACCTCAATAAAATCTTAAAAAAATATCTTTATCTGTCATCACTCCTCTCATAATTGAAATCATCAATTGATAATATATCTTTGTAAGTAAAATCTTTTGGAACAAGATCTTCATCACGCTGATATAACTGATCAATTGAATTTTTTAATGCAGGGAAGTATTCTTCATCTTTGTCTGGTACAGGTAATCCTTTCTTAAATCCTGCTTTGTGGAAGCAGTTAATAATAGTGGTTTCTGAAACTTCATTTCAAGAATGAATAAGCATTTTCCTAGCATCAAGTATGGAGATTGAAGGCATTTGTTTTCTGTTATCAATAGTATTTATGATTTTGTTAATAAAATTAGTTCGGTACTTACAAATCAACAATTGCATGATTTCTTGATCCATCGGCTGCAAACATGAAGTTGTGTTTGGGGGAAAAGTAGAGTGTGACTGATTTAAGGTTCTCAATATTTGGATAGGTGCAATTATCAATAACCAATGCTACCTAAAGGCTTTCTAATGCAAACTTTCTGTCGTTTTCTCTAACCTACTCAAATAGTTCTAACACCGAATTTCAGAGGTCATCCAGCTCTTTTTTGGTGTACGGTAATGACATGGAGTGCTTTTAATTCCTTTAAAGCAACAGGATTTGTTTGATTTCCCAATAAAAAAACATTGGACAGGGTGGCCAGTCAAATTTGAAAATGAAATTCCATGACTCTTCATAAACTTTTATGATATATCACTAGAGTAAAATATTCAGTACTTGCCATGTACTAAGCATTTGCAACTTGATCCTTATAAAACATGCAAACCAAAAACTAATTGGTAGAAAGTACTGAATTCATGTCTGAAAAAAAATCTTTTTCTTTTACTTCTCAGATAACTTACACTGCAAAAATATCTTTTTCAAAAAAGACTTAGACTAGACATACTAGTACTTTTCTTTGCATCCTAAAAATATCACAGGTAAAAAAAAATAAAGATAATTTTAAAAAGTTCCATGAATTTTCCATGACTTTCAGTGAAAATTTAGGAATTCCATGACTTTTTCCAGGACTAAATAAAATTCCATGACATTCCCATAATTTCCATGACCAGTGGCCACCCTGATTGGAAGTTTTTCTGCATACATGTTAGTTCTGCATACATGTTGCTGCTGCAAGCCAAGTTAGTCATATCTGGCAATTCTTACCTCTACTACATTTTTTTTATCTTTCAAATAAATACTTTTTTTCGGAAGTATTTTATAAAACAAACCGAACTCATCTGCATTAAATATATCATGCAGGTTATAATAAGACAATGTTGTCAGCAATATTGTTTTCCTGCAAGGATTGGCTATTTCATTAGAAACATCTTTTCACCTATAAAAAATAAGAAAAGCAACTTTAAAATCAGCGTAAATTTTATTAGCTATGGTTTAGGACTTTATTTGCTTTTCATGCAGTGCGTGGTAATAAGCCAAAACATGGTAATAACTTTAAACAAATCAAAACAAAAGAATTGAATTGATAATTTATTGGTTTATGGGCAATTGAATAGAAATATGAGTTCCATGTTTATTATTATTTTTAGACAAGTGACTGAATGTTTTAGACAAATGACAAAATTTTAGACAAATGACTCAATGAAAGAAAAACAAAATGTAAATATCAAATGAAAAAATTAAATGATAAAAAACCTGATATTGTTTAAAACGATATATTGTTTCTTTTTTTCCATTTATCTAAACATCCATCGGATGCTTGAAAGTTGTCACAACTAAGTTCTTTTGCAAAATGCAAAGCTTCGATTTTGAAATCGGTTCCAGACACAGGAATGTTTTGGTGTCGGGTGTTTAAAAGCCACATATAACATGCTTTTTCCAAAACCTCATTTAGGGAGACATGCATCCACACTCTTTTCACAGTTTTATTTTATTCGACTTCTGAATATGTTTTTTCTATTGACCATCCAAACAATGTTTGCTTTGGAATGCCATATATCTTTGATATAGATACAGATGATTCTCCTTTGTCGAATTCTTTTAATATTTTGTATTTTTCTGTTATAGTTTTACTTAATAGCTTTCTTTTAGCCACTTTCAACATTTTTAGTAAATAAAACTTGATCAAAATATAACTAAATCGAAGATATCCACAAAAATATTTAGTTGGTTCAATTAAATATTTTGACCTAATATTAAGTAAAACTATTTGACGCAAAGGTAATTAATTTTTGAATGTTCAAAGTTTTGAATTTTAATTGATAATTTTGAATTTTTAATATAATAGTTATTAACAAATAAAATTTAATTGAAGCTTAACTGAATCAAAAGATCACCGTGAAAATGTTTCGCTATGTTTAATTATATTGGACGCAAAAGTTTTTTTTCTTCGAGCATTAAAAGTTTGTAATTTTTATTGAAGTTTTGTTTTTATATGCACTTACATGCAATTCAAAATTAAAGTCCTAGATAAGCGAAGTTTTTTGCCAAAGGGACCTCAAAAAACAGTACGAATTAGCGAATGGTCCGACTTATAGCCAGGGTATAACTTATAGTAAGTTGATAGAGAATGTTCAAGGGGAATTAAAATTCTGTCCGACTAGTAAAAGTCCAATTTATCAGAGTTAACAGGATTCAACTGTATATATATATATATATATATATATATATATATATATATATATATATATATATATATATATATATATATATATATATATATATATATATAGCAATTTTATTCTTTTTTTGACATTTCAATTACCTGCAGACAGTGTGGTAGCTAAAGTGCTGTTACTTAAAGCACAGCCAAACTGGTTACACACTTGAATCTACAAAACATAAAAACAATGATGCACATTATATATATTTAATGTACATATATATAATTTTAAATATATCAAATATAATATATAATCATTAAAAAAATATCTTAATTCAAAATTTGTAAGCAAAAAAAAAACAGGTTTTTCAACAAATAGTTGAACAACTCTGAATAAATAACTCATTCATAGAGAGAAAAGTTAGAGTACTTTACACAAATCTGCAAAAATGAATACATGTGGAGAAATAAAAATGCAAAACAAAACCCAGCAAAATAGCAGACATTTATCAAAAATTAAAATCAATAAAAATATTAAGCAACATCTATTAACTAATTAAAACATTCAGCAAAATCTGTTGCAAAGGTTTAAAAGTAAACATGTGAAAAATAAAAATAATTACTATCTGTGATCAATATATTGAGAAAAACATTTTGAAGATTTATGCTCTTAATGTTTATAAAATACTGTGTAAGATAATACTGAAATATTTTGTTTTATTTCTTCATATTTTTGCTTTAAACAAAAACAAAACATTCTTACACTTTTATGCAGAATAAAAACTACATATATGACAACTGTCATATATGGCGATTAAAACATAAAGATAACTAAACACATTATGACTGATATATAAATTTACAGATTGGTTTAACTTTCAGTTAGCTGTAATTTTTTTTATTATATACTTGATTACACACACACACACACACACACACACACACACACACACACACACACACACACACACACACACACACAGATATATATATATATATATATATATATATATATATATATATATATGATATATATATATATATATATATATATATATATATATATATATATATATATATATGATATATATATATATATATATATATATATATATATGATATATATATATATATATATATATATATATATCTAACACATATATATAACACATATATATTACACATACATATTACACATACATATTACATATATATATTACACTCATATATATGTGTGTGTATATATTTTATGTTAATTCACTTCCCCATAGCCGAGAAGGCCACTAGAGTCAAGGAGGCAACTACAATTGTGGTTACAACCCTCTCTTAACTCTATAACTTCAAAACACGAACCTTGAAAAACAAGGCTGCTGCACAAACAAACAAGTTGAGTGTGGTACTACCAGGGTCATGGTGGGGATCAAACCCAGAACTTCTTGCTTATGAGGCAAGTACTCTACCACTACACACCATTTTCATAACTAAATAATTTTGTAAGCAAACTTATATAAATATATAAACAATCATTGCACCAAAATCTAAAATTGTATTTAAAATTTGAATAAAACCCTGAATTTAATTTAAAACTGAACCATAAATAGAATCATTACATATATATATACATATATATTTATATACATAATATATATATATATATATATATATATATATATATATAAATCTGACATCACACTGATATAGCCTGCTGCCGGGGGCTTCAGTACATTTATTTAGATTATCTTATAGCCTGCTATTGCAAAAAATGTCTCTACATTGACAGAGGATGTTTTAATGCAGTTTTACCTGTGCATGATATGTCACTATTAAACAGTCATACTAATTATATGAACTCATTTGGCCTTTAGTACATCAAGTGAGGATTTATATACATACATACATGCATAAAATCATGCATGCTTAAACTTAAAAAAAAAAAGTAGAAATTTCTACCTTAGGGTAGAATATTTAATATACCCTTTGTATAGTATAATTTTCTACCTTTTAAGGTATAAAATTGTATTAAAAACAATGGTTTGTCATACAATTTTCTACCTTAAAGATATAATTTTCTACCATAAAAACTTTTTAATAAAAAGTAGAAAATTATACCTTATTAAGGGTAATACATATATACATACAAACATACATACATACAAACATACATACATACATACATACATACATACATACATACATACATACATACATACATACATACATACATACATACATACATACATACATAAATACATAAAATCATATTGAAAAGTTAAGTTTGTAGAATCATTGCTCCACTTGCCTTGTTTTTGTTCATTGGGTATACGTATTTGACCAGCAAAATTTCAGGCTGATAGAGCAACATTTACAGGTCCACGTATTATCAACATTATATATAAGACGCATTGTCTAGCATCTTCGCTTACTATTTCCGTCCGACTTTATCAGGACAGGCTATAAATTAATTTACTTACTTGTGTGCTGAATTCTAATGTGCATGTTATTTTTTTATTTTACTGTTATTGAATTATTATTGAGATGACATTAAACTAAAATTAAACTCTTCAAATATTAAACTATAACTCTCAGTTATTTCTCAGTTATCTACAGCAAGATTACCACGTACTTCAATTGCTCCAGTTTTATTATTTAAGTAAAAGAACCCTTCCTGAAAGTTTTAAAAGGTCTTGAATCGCAGATACTTGAATTTGGATGCAAGCCAAGATGCCAGCCAACACAGCAAAGTGACTCAAGTGACAAAAACTGTCAAAGCTGCATCAGAACTATCTGGCTTGATGACAGGAATACAGAACGATCAGTAATTCCTTTTCTATGCAAAGAGATGTTTTTTCCTGCAGCAAGATTAGAGTAGATGCAAAAACAGCAGCAAAAGAAAACAGAAAAAGGAACAAGAGAACCATTCTCTCTTGTTCCTATCCAATGATAGGAACAAGAGAGAATGGTGAAAATGAGATATAAAGAACTCATGACAATAGGCATTAATGAAACAGAAAGTGAACTTTTTTTGTCTACATCTAGTTTGGAGATAAGGAGTATCAGCCAACTCAGAATCAGCCATGTAGGCCAACAGCGTCAAAATCAACAGAATCATCAGCTTCTGCCTCATCATAAATTTTTTTTTTGGCAAGACCACTATTGCTTCTTTGAGACAGCCCAACATTGATAGATCAAAAGAAAATATGGGTCCATAGCTGTTACCATTACTGAGAATGGCCAGGAAAAACTGTTGGCTATTCTAAAAATGGATAGATAAACAGGAGAGGCTTAAGAAATACCTGTGTTGAAGTAAAAGAGAAATGGAATCTGTGTTCACAGATCATAAGCCTTGTATTTGACAAAACAACTAGAATACAAGGCTTCCTAATGATACGTGTTAGAATTTAATAAACTCTAGGAATTAAAATGGTCTAGATTGCATGCCATCATCACGTCATGAAAGTTGTCCTTTGTTTTCATATCTCTGTTTGGTCCAATTGAAGGTATATCAACTGCACTATTCAAGCGATTTCAGAAACAATGATCATCAATGAATCAAGATGCTAATTGTACAGCAACAGATGTTTCAGGGTCCAATATTGAAGAACACGCAACAGGAAATGCTTGTCTATTTACCACCTCCTCTTGAAACATACCAGCCAAGGGACAATTATCAAGAATTTTTACATTTATCCTTCTGGTTTTTTGGTGGATACAAAGGCAGCACAAAATTTCAAGCTCCTGGTCCAACACATTTTACATAATGGATGGCAAAAGCCATTTACACATTGAAAAACTTTCTTTTTAAGAATCAGGTCAAGTTTACTGCTTGTGAATCCAAGAATATGGATCTGTTTAACAGTCTTGTTTATGTCAAACAGTGGTATGAAGCGCAACTTGAAAATTGAAACCCTTATAATGACATCAAATTTTTGTCAAATCTGAAGATCTATCTGAACAAGACTGTTACCAGCAAGGCACATCAAGCATTTTCAAGGCACCTCTGGTATCTCTCTAAATATCTGGTTAACATGGTCTTTTTAGATCACACAGTTTCAGCATCAAAGAAAAGATGGTACAATATCTATGTCAACTAGCTTTGGCAGACAACCCTCAGAGTAAAAAGTTGACAAGTGAATCTTACCAGTTGATATTGGAGGATCTAGTGACAAAAAAGACAACATATTTTTTTGATGTCCTCATGGAAAAGGGTATAGAAAAGTCACAGACATTCCTTAAGAAACCACCAGGATCACATTTGATCTAGTCAAGAAGTTTTATGAACTGGCTACACACAAGACAGTTGTAAATAATGTAGCTGAAAGAGAAATCAGTCTTATTGAAAATTACAATAACACCTTAACAAAGAATGAGGAACATAAGCAGTTTACTCTTGATTGGTTGGAAACCATAAGCAAGAACTTCCCAATCCTATTATAGAAATCACTTATGTTGAGGAACAATTTGTATAAAAACTGTATATAAAACTATATACAAACTCTCAAATTTTAAAACTAAATTTTAAATTAGATTGTAATTTTCAGTTAACATTCTTTATTACAACTTTAATTTAATTTTTTAATTTTAATTTAGTTTATAATTTTAAATTTAGGTTTTAAATAGATAATTGACATTCAACAATAATTATTCTATCTGGGATAACCTAAAAACTGTCAAATGGGTTGATCACTAACTATTATTTGTTTTCATTAAAATTTTACACAATTGCTATTATCATAACAAAAAACAAAAATAACCTTGTGGACAACTCAAATCTGCTACTTTGTTTTTGTGGACCACCTTAATACATACATACATACACACATACAAAAAAAAAAATATATATATATATATATATATATATGTATATACATACATACATACATACATACATACATACATACATACATACATACATACATACATACATACATACATACATACATACATACATACATACATACATACATACATACATACATACATACATACATACATACATACATACATACATACATACATACATACATACATGCATACATACATACATACATACATACATACATACATACATACATACATACATACATACATACATACATACATACATACATACATACATACATACATACATACATACATACATACATACATAAATACATACATACATACATATAAGGAAAATATAAAGTTAACTAAAAACCTGTATAATATAGACAGTGTATGGTTTTAAATTTTCTTGTTTGCAGAAATTTCGGTCTCCTGATAAAGTATCCAGCAACTCATTATTGCTAAAAAAAAATATAACCAACAAAATAGATGAGTGATACTTACTATTGTTTACTGTTATACAATACATGTTATTTTTACTTATAATAGTAATAAGAGTCATAATTTTAAAACTTAGACATACATTTAATAGCTTGGCTGACTATAACAAAAATATTAAAGCAAATATTGGTTTTACTTATGTTGTTATTAATGTTATTAATCTTATAACAATCTTATTAACCTTTATATATTTTAAACTTTCATACATTGAAATTTAACTTAAACTAGTTTGTAATAGTAACTATGGAAATATTACCAAAAGGAACTTTTGTAACTTTTTAAAGTTTAAAAATATGTTTTAATTATTTTTTTTTTTTTAAATTTTTGAACAGAAGTAAAATAATTTATTAATTTAAATTTTTTATAATTTAATTTTTGTTTTATCTTTTGCAATCACTGGTGTAATGTTGGAAATAGAATTTCAAACATTAAACCAGTTTCTACTTTTAAAACTATTTTTAACAAACAAAATATAATTAATTATTCAAAACGATTTAAATTAAACAATTAAGAAATTAACCTCACTTGCATGTTTTTAACCTCACTTGCACGTTTTAAATCTGAAACTGTTACTGTAGCTAGATATACATTTAACTTTCAGCAACTATTATCGCTATACTGAGTATTACGAACTGGATATTAAGGACACCATTGAACTTAATTTATAATTATTGAGATTTCAAATTGTAAAATTAAGTTAGTAATCATCTTAATAATAAGTAAATTTTTAATTTTAACAATTTAATTGAATAGATATTAAATTAACTTTTGTTTTTTGAAAATGCATACATATTCATTAAAAAGTAATAGTGAAAGAAAAACATTTTACTACTTTTGTTTTTTAACCAATTATTATTTTTTTTTTTTCATTAATAGATTTTCATTCCTATTCAAACCTGTATTTAGTTGAACAAGGCTTGAAAAAAATATATTATTATAATTTTTTTTTTATGAATGTTGCTGTTCATATCAATATTTATTAACTAATCTTTAATTTAAGAGTAACTTCATTAGTACAAAAAATAAATTTAATAAGTGATTAATTGTTAAATTTATAAATAAAATAAAGTTATAAATTAAAGTTGATAAATAAAATCGAGTTAACAATTGATTAATTGTTAACTCAATTTTATTTATCAACTTTTTTCTACTTTTTTTTGATTTAAAAAAAAAAAAATTTTTCTTGTCATAATTGTTGAATAAATGAACAAATTAAATTCAAATTATTAAAAAGTGAAATTAAATTATTGAAAAGAAAAAATATATATCTTTAAATTGTATACACATTTTTTTAAAAAAGTTTTCAAAATAAAATTTTTTTTTTTTTGCAATTTTATTTTAAAAAAAATAACTTTTAATTTTTTAAATTTTATGCTCTGATTAATAAGTCAAGTTTTTAAAAAAAGCTTTTAAACAATTCTTTATAAAAATATAAACAAAAAAAAGAAGCAATCATCACTCCGTTGCAAGGGAAAGAATTTATTTGACTTAAATTATAAGCTTTCAAAAGACTTTTAGAAAGACACAGGGTGGTCAGTTACATTGTGCGATTGCCTGGAAAGCCTGGAAGTACAAACTATGGGAGAGAAGCTTTAATAAAAATTACAGCTGTAATTTATACTTTAATTGAAAGATACTTAGCATTTAATAAGCCAATTGAATGATTTGTCAACAACACCCAAATTGAAAAAAACGCAGGGAAAATTTAAAATTCTTGCAGAGTTTAAGTTGCTCTATTAAACTTGTAAGAGAGGCTGCTGCAGATTGTTGCATTAAAGAAACTTTTTATAGCATGGTTCACGAACTGTATATCTTTTTCTTTGCTTGTTCAAAGCTATGGATTATTTTGGAACAGTTGACAAGTATTTTATTGAAACCACTATTGAATACTCAATAAAGCGATGATGCTGACTAGGTCATAACTATGCACAAGTACTAAAATCAATTGATGGGAGTACTGCTCGCAACCAACGAGAGCAAAAGTTTTGAAATGAAAGCAATAACTGCAGCAGTTTACTATCAAAAATGGAAATTAATAAATTTGATTAAAAAACAATATGAGATGAAACTTTACAACAAGTAAATGGAGTTTTCAAATCATTGCAAAGTGCAACTATAATCTGGATCCTCTGAACTTTATCTTTTGGTGATTATCTTGGATTAACTGAAACGTTTAATTTAATAGAACAAGATGTTAAATTACTGTTACAGATTATTTACAAAAGAGAGGTTGTAAAAAGAATGATTTTAGGTAAAATTTACTTGGAAAAATCTTAGTTAAGTTCCTGTAAAGAGTTCATGTAAAAATCTTAGTAAAGTTCATGTAAAAGAGTTCATGTAAAAAGTTTTCTGAAAAATAACATCACAACATATTTGAAAGAAAGAGCTCAAAGCTACCAGCAATTGAATGAAAAATTTGTATTTTTATAAGACATAAGAATAATTGAAGACAAACTGAAGATTTGTATTGATTATCTGGTGAAGACTACATAAGACATAGGTGAAAATTCATGTCTACACCTAAATTTGATTGATCATTTTAATATTCAAGCTCTCTAATAGTCTCATTTTGATTTGTACAAACTATTAAAGAAAAACAAATAGATGCCCAATTTCATAATATATATATATATATATATATGATACCTATAGATATATATTATCATAGTAATATATAATACCTATAATATATATGATACCTATAGATATATATCTATAGGTATCATATATATATATATTAGGAAAATATATATTATGATACCTATAATGATAAATTTAATAATATCTTTTCTGGAGAAAGGTTGTTTTGAAAATAAAAATAAAATAAAATGATTTGCCAACAACTTTGTCAAAAAAAAATATGTACATGATAGTATTCCAAAAAAAATTTTTGGATTACCATTATGTACATATAACTATAACTAATTGGCCTCCTCGGCCTTGAGGCGGTGAGTTAACATTAAAAATTTTAAAAAAATTTTTGGATTACCATTATGTACATATAACTATAACTAATTGGCCTCCTCGGCCTTGAGGCAGTGAGTTAACATTAAAAATTTTAAAAAAGTTTTTGGATTACCATTATGTACATATAACTATAACTAATTGGCCTCCTCGGCCTTGAGGCGGTGAGTTAACATTAAAAATTTTTAAAAAAATTTTTGGATTACCATTATGTACATATAACTATAACTAATTGGCCTCCTCGGCCTTGAGGCGGTGAGTTAACATTAAAAATTTTTAAAAAATGTAATTAACAATTTTGCTGATGAAAAATATAGAAAAAAAATTATTTAGACTGCAAACAATTTTAAAAAAATTAAAACAAAATCTTGAATTACATTAAATAAGAGTTATATTTTCATATATTTTTTATAAAATGGGGACTCATATTTTTGTTGGTCTAGTGTCTTTAAAATTGTAAATTCAGCCCTGATTGTAGTGGACTAAGTACAGGATCACCCTGTACTCAGTCCAGTAACAAGATGGTCTAGATAATTCTAATCCTGACCTGACAATTCAGTTAAAACAAAAATTAAAAAAAATAAATAAATAAATACAAAAAAGTAAAATAATAAAAACAGCATAATATATTTTAAAAAAATACTAGTTAAAAAACTTCAACAAAACTGTGTTTTTGTTTTTTTAATATAGACTTACATCACAACAGTATAATTTACTATGAGACCATTTGGAACAAGTGGTGGAGCCCATGCAATACTAAGATCAAATGAACCAATTCTGTAAACAACTGGCACACCCAATCCTTCAGGAACTAATATAAAAAAGTAAATATTAAATAAGTAAATATTAAGTGATAATAAATAAAAAGTAACTATTAAGTAATATTAATGAAAGTATGAAAATATAAAATACTTTCATAAATGTTTAAATAAAATAAAAAACAATAACACATTCATAGTATTCAACATATTTTAAGTTAAGTAATATTACCACCAGTGTTTGTTTTTACTACAGTTGAATTTCCAATATATGAACCAGCGCCATTAAATAACTCAACCTAAAATTATTGACACATAATTATAAAATTATTGACACATAATTATAATTACAAATTATTGACACAATATCATAATTACAAAAGTATTGGCACAATCACATAATTATAAACTATTGACACATTATATATAACTATAAAAATATTTTGTAATAATTTTTTATTTTGTAAAATCAAAACATGTAAATTTTAATCATTGTGATGACACAAAATCAAAACCTAAGGATGCCAGTTATTTTTAAAAATAATACCATGGGGGTTGGGCATGAATTACAAAACAATGTTTGTTTTGCAACGCACTAAAACAAATTGTTTGCAAACTAACATTAAAAACTATGAATAATATTAAAATTTCCAATTAGCAAAACAATGATGAAAACAATAAAATTAACATAATTATGGTCAATAATCTAATAAGAGTCATAATTAAGATGACTTAAAATTATTATCATAATTAAGAGTCGTGTAAATAAATTTATTAGTGCTTATAATCTAAAAGGTCTTTAAAAGTATGTCTTAAATTATCTTTGCAAAAAAAAATTGACCAAAACAATAAAACTATTTAACTATATCTATGAGAGATAAAGCGATAAAGAGACAAACTTTACTTCAGTAAATCAAGATATAAAAATAATATTTTTTATAATGTTTTTACATAATCAACTTTATTAAATTTCATTAAATGAATTTTATATTACAAGAAGGATTCTTCATTCACATATTCTCCCCTACTTTTTATTAGTTATTATTTATTTCTTGTTTTGGATTTTATATTTTACAAGAAATGTCAGGAATTGATGAAAAAAGCTTTTAGTTAACAGACTTTTATCTTTTTTTAGTCTCTTATATATTTTATGGGTGTGACTGTGCAATTGATGGTCAGAAGTGGAACAAAACACAAACTTTATCAAAAGCTTTTGACATTTCAAGAGTAATAGCCCTTGCCTTCTTTGCCTCAATCTAACGCGCAATTAACTCTAATTTAATTAACTCTAATTCAATTAACTTTAAGTAAATTAAAGTGGATTTTTTAATCTAAGAGTAAAACAGCCTTTGTTTAATAGACTTCAAGGATAACGTTTGCATTGTGCTTATTTTTTCAAAACAACTCTAAACCTTTGAAGTTTTAGGAGTTAAGTGTATTTTTTTTATATTAATTTTAACTTATTAAATGTGATAAATTCCAACAATAATACTAAGCAATCTTTGTAATTAAAAAAACAAAATTTTAGCTTTCAAGTTTCATGAATAAACTAAGCATTCTAAAGCATTTAAAATTTATTATAATCCGCACTACTAGTGTTGAATATAAAAGTAATAATATAAATAAATAACATTATAAATGTATAAAATTATAAAAAATAAATATTACCTTAAAGATGTACTCAGTGTTTGGTTTTAAATTATTGATCACAACAAACTTTATCTTTGGTAATAAATTACCAAAAGTGTTCACAAGATTAGTTGAAACAATTTCATAATAAACAGTATATCTTATTACTTTACCCCTTAATTTTGTTAAGGGAGGATCAATCCAAGACAAATTTACACTCACATGGTTTAATACAACAACAGTAACATTTGGACCTAAAAGAGGTATATCAGCCCTTGTGCGAAATGTCTCAGAAACATTGCTAGTTGTATTGCCTTCATTAGTAATACATGTAACCTAAAAAAAAATCTCATGTTAAGACAAATCCATTGGTACTATTGTAATATTATAATTGTCATAAATTATCATAATTAATAATCATTATTAAAATGCATTGTAATAAAAATGCAACCAACTTTTAAATCATTAATTTTTCTTAATAAAAATGCCTCCAAATAAGTGTTCCGTTTCAGACAAAAATCATATACAATTTCTGCCACTAATATGTGCATGGCCATGTATGCTTTAAATTAATAAGAAAAAAATAAAAAAAATACCATATAATCATGCAATGAAAAAATTCCAAGATTTAGATGATCAAAAACTGTAGCAACTTGAACTACAAGAGTTTGCCACTTTGTTGGAAAACTAATATTTTCATTGACCAAGCTTTCTAAAGTTCTACCATACAAAACAAATCCTGTTATAGGACCATTGGGATACAATGGCTCTGTCCATTGCACTCGTAAGCTTGTACTTGATAAAACAGAAGCAATTGGAGATGGTTGATTTGATGGAGCAGCAGGGAGAGTTCTTACACTTGTCATTGCACTATCTGTGCAGCCAACAACAGTACAAACACTGATTTTAATGTAGTATAGAATGTAAGGAAGCAGCCCAGTAACTATATACTCTAATGAGTCATTTATTTCTTTAGTTTGTTGGTTTATTTTCACAACATACTTTATAACTTTTCCATTAGGTTCGGAAGGTGGTTTCCATTTAATTAAAATAGAGTAAGTGGACAAAGGAAATGCTAAAGGTGCTTCAATACCTTCCGGTTCTATAAAAAAATATCACAAACTTTAGACATTTAAATATGTCTAACTATAAAATTTTCAAGTTTAAAGTCAATAATATGTTTAAAAAAATAAGTCATCAATTAATTATACCTGCTTCTGGAGTTTGTATTAAACTAAACTCACTCTGACTTGCCCCAACAGCTGTTTGAGCAACTATCCTATACTTATACAAAGTGTTAGGTTTGACATTAAAATCAATGTAAATGTTCCAAAATTGACTTTGTGTGCTGTTAACTGTTTCAAGTAAACTTGAATTATTTTTACCTCGTTGAATCTTGTATAACAAAATAATACCATTAGGGTATTTAGGTGTTCTCCATTGCACAATAACTGAACGAGATCCATTTGCACTAAGTATTGGCGGATACACATCTTCTGGAGCTATACAAAATAATAAAAATTTTATAAATATTAAAAACAAAACATGTATACATAATTGTTTATACATATATATATATATATATATATATATATATATATATATATATATATATATATATATATATATATATATATATATATATATATATATATATATATATATATATATATATATATATACATACATATATATATATATATATATATATATATATATATATATATATATATATATATATATATATATATATATATATATATATATATAAGAATTACTAACCACGGTAAAGGGCGAAATGTGTCAGTAATAACAATAAAAAACATATATAGTTATAGTATTTAAACAATATTTACATAAAACTTTTCTTACCATCCATTAATGTTTCTATGAAGACTGAACTACTCTTGATACATCCCACTATAGTGCAAGCTGCAACATTAATTGTATAAACTGTATATGGCATTAAATTTGTTATATTTACGACTGTTTGCAATGATGAAAATATTAAAGTAGAATTTAAAAACATTTTATAACTAATAATTACTCCATTTGGTTTCGCAGGTGGAAAAATATATGCAATGGCATATCGAGAACTAATTGTTACTATGTTTGGTGCATCAAAGTCTGAAGGTACTAAAAACATAAAAAAAAAATTTTCAAATAACCTAGTGTTAAAATTTTAAACTTACAACAATGATTCCTAATTATATTCCTAAAATAGATTCTGAAGTACATAGACATATCTTTATTGAATTTGATATATTTCAATAGTAATGACATAATTCTATAGTGACGCCGTGTATATGATGCATAAATACAAAATTTAAATTTATTCAACAATTAATGTTTGACTGAATTTATATTTTGCCATATTTTAACTTGCAATAAATAATTTTTCTTAAAATTTTTTTTTTTTTTTGAATTACATTTAGAAGATTATTTTTACAAAATAAAATTCTGGAATAAATATTAAAAATCAAAAGACTTAACAGAGAACTGATGAAAAAAAATAAACATAACAAAATCAAAATAAAATAAACTGCCATTTTAATTAAATAGATAGGTTAATGTAATAATGGGAAAGTTTGTTTATTAAGAGAGGGATTTTCCCATTAAATGTGAAGCACTTTTACTTTAAATTTATGTTCAGTTAAAATCTCTAAAGAATTACAATTAGATAGGCTTTTGCAATTAAGAGATGTAATTAAATGTTTATATATATGGGATTTTTAATCAACCCCAAGGTTCTCATTAATTCTAGTTCTTAAATGTCTGGAAGTTTCTTCAATATAACTTACATTACAACCAGCGCAAGAAAATTTGTAAACAACATGAGATTTAAGTAGCTTCCAAAGCCAAAAAAAAAATTATTTTTTATTTTATTGGTAGTAAATATTAATTTTATTATCTTTGTAATATTTATTAAAAATACTTTTAATTTTTATTTTAGTATAATTAGAATAATTTCCAATTTATGGAAGCTTGAAGTATCTTATATTTTAAGGTAGGCTTGAAGTATCTTATATTTTAAGGTAGAAACAGATGGGCTTACCTTTATATCAATATATGGTTTAATTTCAGAGTCAATAACTTTTTGCAAAAATTTATTATTTTGTAAAACAAAAGAAAAATTTTTATTTCTCTATCAAATCTGAGCCAAGTATAATTAACATTAAATGTTCGATCAATCAATCAATGTATAAGACCAAATTTGTAGCAAAAAGAAACAAAACTTAAAAAATTTTGTATCAGGCCTGTATGAGTTTTTTTATGATAAACTGATGTCAAAAAAGAATAGGATTTATTAATCAGGTTATCTAAAAAGGCAAAATCTTGTTCTTTTTTAATCATTTCATCTTTTTTCATGTTGTTTTTATTACGATGATTAAAAAATTTTTGGGCCTCATATTCAGAGTTAAAGATAGCAATTATGTCATCCACATGCCGTTTATAAAAAATTGGTTTAAAAGGAAGACAGTTACTAACCCATGTTGGTTCATAAAACTTGATTAAAATATTAAATATAAAATGGATGCTAAAAAAGAACCCATTGCAACACCATCTGTATGACCATAATATTTTCCATCAAATAAGATATGGGAACCAGATGTTGAAATCTGTAAAAGTTTCTTAAAATGAGTTTTAGAAAGTTGCAAATATCTGTAAAGTCTTTTGACTTTTAATATTTAATCAAAGTTTTTATTGTAAAAATAATATCAGTATCATAAACTTTAATATTTATACCAGAGTTTTTATTGTAAAAATAATATCAGTATCATAAACTTTAATATTTATACTAGAGTTTTTATTGTAAAAATAATATCAGTATCATAAACTTTAATATTTATACCAGAGTTTTTTATTGTAAAAATAATATCAGTATCATAAACTTGTATTGAAAATGGTATCATAAACATGTACTATAAACATATTTTAAACAGATACAAATACCAGATTTATATCTTTATACTTTATAAACAGATACAAATACCAAATTTATTTCTTTATATCTTTATAAAGTATTGAGCTTTTTTTGCTCTTTAAGTGCTTACTGCTTTTCCAGAATAACAATAAATTGTTCTATTTCTTTTCTAGTAACTCCCAACTTAATAGTTGTTGCAACAGCCTTGTTGGAAGTGAATTTGTTTTGCATACAAAAAAGGCAAAAGAAAAATTCCTAATATGCATCGAAACCTTGTCTTGGATTGTTCATTGTGCCATGCTTTCAATTTTGCAAGTACTTAATAAAAGTAAAATAGAACTTACTTAATAAAGGTGTAAAGGATTTAGTAAAAGTTAATTTAAATCAAGTTTATTTGTTGGCTTGATAACTTCATAACATGTTATTTTACTTTAAATAAATAAAGCATGTAAAAGTACTTATAAATTTTTTTAATAAGAAATAAAGATTATACCATCTTCAGGTGTTGTAACATTGTAACAGATGCTTGACAAGTTTGCAAAATCATTTTCAACTTCTACTTTGAAGCTATATACAGAATAGGGTGACAAATCAATAAAAGTATAATCATAGAATAATCCTCGTTTAATCAAAACATTTCTGTATGAAACCATATCATTTAGTTGAAAAAGTATATATAAATAATAACTGAGTATTTTTCCATTGGGGCGAGATGGTTTCCTCCAGGTTAGGTAAACACTCGTTGAGTTGATAACAGAGCAATTATCTAAACTAAATCCTTCTGGAACTATAAATTAAAAAAAAAAAAATCATAAAAATATGAAAATAATTTGAAAACAAGTAATATTCAATTTGTACAAAATATACAAAAATACTTATAAATAACAAAAATAGCTATAGGCTGGGTTTTAGTACACCAACTGAGGACTTGGTTTAAAGTTTAAGGCTGGTTTTCAGTTCATTAACCGAGAATAATCTGAAATGAAACATAAGATTTATACAGATGAAAGATTCAGATGAAACACAAGAGTAATCTAAGAGTAAGATATTTTTTTGCATTAACATATTAATATATGATAAAAAGACATTTGTTACAAGAAAAGACATTAGTTGCAACATAAATTTGATTATGAAACAGGTTTAAAAATATATGAAATAAGCGTTATCATGCACTCAAATAGAAATAAACAAACAATAAGAGGTAGAACCAACTTACCTGCTGACAAATGCCTTACCTGGCATTTTTCAGCAAATAGACTAAGGGTATCCAAGGACAATCAAATGTAAAATTTCAGAAATTAAAATAGTTGTATGAATAGTGTAATAAGAAAAATCTGATGATGGAGAAAAATGAGAACCTGGTGATGGAGATGAACTTAAAAGATGGTCTCAACTACCTTTAAGAAAGTGAGAAAAAAAATGCTTGGTTATGTACACAAATACAATATCATTCATGGGTAGATAATGACTTCCCAAACTCAAAACCTTAGCAGGAATATGTACAAAAGCCCTTACAGTCAGCTAATTCATTATGCATCAGTAGCGTATGTATGTATTTATGTATGTATGTATGTATTAAGTTAGTGTATATTTAATAGGAGTTCTCAATGTTCTTTAACAACTTTAATTCTTCAAAAATCTTTAAAAAGATTATCTAAATTTTAAGGGATAAATTTTGTTCAAATCTAAAGGTGTATTTTCAGCTGTAAATTTAGTGTATTATTTTTTATAATTATTTTAAAAATTTCTTACTTTCATAAATGCTATATATGATTATTCTGATTATTACTTAATAAGTTTTCTTGACTTCTTAATCCAGACAACTGTCAAGTTTATTTTGCAGACATAAAATACATTTTTTGCAAACATTGAAAATAAGTTTTAAGAAAAAAAAACAATTTAATTTGAAAACAAAACACTTTGCTATTGGATACCAAATATATATATATATATATATATATATATATATATATATATATATATATATATATATATATATATATAGGGTCAGCATTCTGCAACGCCAACCTAGAAGTGTTTGAGATCGCCAAAAAATTGACAACCTGGTTTCTATGTTTTTTGATAAAATCTTAGTATTTTATAAAATCTTAGTATTTTATAAAATCTTAGTATTAAATTTTTTTTGCTGATCTCATCCCAACCTCTAAAAGATTAAGGTCAGAAAATTATTGCTGACCTCATTTTTCCTAATCCCAAGAGCTGTATATATATACATAAATATATTTCAAATTGAATATGTATGTAATAAGCGACTTTCAGTGAAAAAGTTTTTAAATGGAAGATTATTAATTTGTATCATCAGCGAAAAGATGCATTGGCAAAATGTAAACATTGTTGAGATCATTAACATATGTTAAAAGCAAAAGAAGACTATGAACAAAGCCTTGAGGAACAACGCACATAACTAATTTATTATTAGAACTATAACCATTAATACTTAAAAAATCCGATAACCATCGAACACTAATAAATAATAAAAATAAGATCAAACCACTCACTTACAACATCAATAACTTAAAACACCATTAACTTACAAAACCATTAATTTATAACAAATAACTTACAACATCAATCATTTAAAACACCACTAATTTACAATAAATAACTTACAAACACCGCTCACTTAAAACACCACTAACAACCAACTAACAACACCACTCACTTAAAACACCACTTACAACACCATAAACTCAATATTGTTCTAATTTAGAAATCATAAAGTTATGATAAATTGCATCAAAAACTTTCTGTAAATTGATAAAAACAACAAAACAACTAGTATCAAGAATTTTTCTGATATCTTCAATCATTCCTTCAGTCATTCCTTCAGTCATGCTTATTTTTCTGATATCTTCAGTCATGCTTATTTTTCTGACTTTTTCAGTTATACTTATAAATGCATAAGTATAATGTTTTGATTAAATTAAAATTTATTTAAAAGATTTCAGAAAAAAGTACGCTTTAGAATAAGTTTTTCAACAAGTTAGATAAAAAACAATTAAATCTATAGTTAGCACATAAATTTTAAAGTCATTTTAATACATTGGATTACACTTTTATATATTGAATTACACTAGAAAATTTTCCATTTATGAATGAGATATTAAATAGAAAGAATATTTGAAAATGTTTAGTCTATAATGATGTTTGTGGAAATGCTAAATTTTAAGGGATAATTTTTGTGCAAATCTAAAGGTGTATTTTCAGCTGTAAATTTAGTGTATTATCTTTTATAATTATTTTAAAAAATTCTTACTTTCATAAATGTTATTATTCTGATTATTACTTAATAAGTTTTCTTGACTTCTTAATCCAGACAACTGTCAATGGATCTAATGATTTTCTTGGCTTAAATTATAATCTTTTTTTAACTATAATCCAATTAGGAATTATTTAATTTAGATATAAGTAAATTAGAAGTATTTTGTGGAGATAAGAGTAGTCTATGTAAATTTAAATATTTATGATTCTTTTTATATATAATTGACATAAGACGAGCTAATATTTGGTTAAAGTTAATATGTAAACTTGTAAAAATAGTGGTAAGCTTTTCAGAGATACAAGTCAGGTCAGTATATGTTTTATTAATTTGTAAACAATTGGGAGAAATTACTAAATTATGTCAAGGTTTTTTTTCATTTCTGAGAAAAAATTTATTCAATGGTTTTTTTTCATTTTTCTGAGAAGAAATTTATTCAATGGTTTTTTTTATTAAGTTTAATTACAGGGTTATTCATTCTTATATGCGCGTCTATTCATTTTTATATGCGCGTTTATTCATTCTTATATGCGCGTTTATATGCGAGTCAACTACCCATAAATAATTATTGTTAATATAATTTTATATAAACAATAAATTGACTTATATGTTTTTATATAGCTATACTTAAAATATAAATTAGGTTGTTGCCACTTCAATTTATTTTAAAAATGGTTGCAAGCCAGCACTGAATTTATTTAATAATTATAAATAATAAAACTTAAATCTAGATAAATGAATCTTTACATAAATAATCAATTATTAAATTGAATAATAAAACTAAACAAAGACCTAATACTAAATTAAATGACAACGAATGTAAAAAGTCTTCCGCTTAAGTATTTTTAACCTCGTTTACCAGGAAATAGAAAAGATTTGATTTGAAAAAATAAATTGTTTTTTCAAAACAAATTGCTTAAATGATTTTTTTAGTTCAAATTGCTTTTTTAAAATGTATATAAGAATGAATAAACACGCATATAAGAATGAATAAATGTGCATATAAGAATGAATAAACGCGCATATAAGAATGAATAAATGCGCATATAAAAATGAATAGAGGCGCATATAAGAATGAATAACCCTGTAACATAAATATCCTGTATTTATATTGCTTACAAACAAATTTTGTTATAAAAGATTGCGTACTTGAATAGATTTATTTGAATAGATTACTAATTGTTTATGCGACACATTGATTGCAAAAAAAGGCCTACAGAGCCGTCCAGTTACGTAGACCTGGCAGATGTGATAGTAAAAACATATTGTAGATGGTGTTGTAGAATAAAAAATAAAAATCATAAAAAAATATAAAATGTTTTTATAATATACAAATAGTAATATTATTTTAAAATAATAATATTTTGTTTTGGTAATCTATAAATTTTTTATTTGTATTTTTTAAATTTTTCTTGAAGAATTTAGAAGAGACTCTTTGAAACAAGTAACCTTATATCAATAAAAAGTGAAATGTTTCTTTGTAAGTTTATAATAAAACAAATATAATGTAAAAACTTTATATTAAAAAAAAAAAATGTTAACAACACAAATGATATTATTGTTTGTAATAACATAGCATAAGTGTAAAAACTTGAAATTAACTTACTATCAGATAAAGTTTTCACACTTATAGAATTACTTAAAATAAAACCAGCATTATTAGAAGCATTTATTATGATGTCATATATTGTATACGCAAGAAGACCAGTGCATAATGCAGTTTCATCTGTATTATTGGTTTCAAAACAAATCACTGACATATTAACTGTTTCATACCCGCTAAGATTAAAACTTCCTTTTACTATTAAATAATAGATTAATGGCCCATTTGGTTGCACTGACGATGTCCAATTGGCAGTTAATGAGTAAGAGGTTATATTTTGCACTAATAACTGAATGGTACCATTCGGCTTCTCTTGTCCAGTTAAACCTATGACTTTTGGGCTAAAACCACAACCACTGCCAGTACAGACTTGCACTTGATACAAATATTGTGTATATGGTTTTAGATTTTGTGCAACATAGTCATTTGGTAATGCACCCCAATTTAAAACAATAACTCCATCCTGCCAAAGATAATAATTTTTTACAACTCCATTAGGAGAGTTTGGAGGATATATTTTTACCAATAAAATTGTAGAACCAACTGGTGTTACCTTAGGAGGTGGAATATTTGTCGGAGCACTTTCAAGTGTTCTTACCTCTGTAGAATTACTAATGACACTTCCTTTATTATTAAATGCTTTCACTCGAACAAAATATAAGGTTCCAGGAACAAGGTTCTCAACAATTACAGCAAAGCTCGCTTTAGTGGTATTACTAATCAGGTTCATGTTATTTAAACTGTTCGAAAGTGACACAAACAACTGATACATAAAAATTTTTCCATTTGGTTTATTAGGTGGTGACCATAAAACTTCAATTCGCACACTGTCTAAAACCTGTACAGTTGGACCCATCAGATCTTCAGGTGGAGTTTCACCAGTATATTGATCAACATATACTGAAACACAACCTACAAAACCACATGCAGAAAGCTTTACTGTATACAATGTGTATGCTGTAAGATTTTCAATATAAAAAAATAGACTTTTTCCAGTATAATATAAAACATCATTGAGTTCCACTTTGTAGAAAATAATTTCTCCATTTGGTTTGATAGGAGGTCTCCATGAAATATTAAATGAAGTTGGAGATGTTTCAATGATTGGAGGTGAGAACATTTCTGGAACTAAAATGTATAAAATTATATATATATATTAAAATATACAAATATTTATTTAAACATATATATATATATATATATATATATATATATATATATATATATATATATATATATATATATATATCACACACACACACACACACATGCACTAGGGTGTCCCAAAAAAGGTTAGGGGGATTAGTTAGAATAAAATGAAAATAATGTTATGGGTCATTTAATCAACATTTGCAAAATGTATATTTTCAAAATTTGAATAACACCAATTTTCATAATTTTTCTATATTTGCTTTTTTCTTTCTTAATCTTTGCTTTTATTGATATTAATAAAATTGTTATAATCATACAGAAAGATTTATTAGAGAAGCTTAAGAATGTTCAAAAATCTAACTGTTCAAAAATTATGTTATGAAAAAACATTTTTGTTATGAAAACAAATGAAAACATTTGTTTGGAGTAACTTTTATCACTAGAAATTAGCTTTTAAACTAAGAATGCTGCATCTGTCAATGTAATAGATTTACGTGATAAACATTTTTCAACTCGAAATTAACTCCAGAAATATATTATTCATTTACTATATGATTTTATCATAGTACGTTCCAAAAAATTAAAAAATAAAACAAGGTGCTGAAAGAAAATGCAACTGCTCTATTAGCCCTAGAAGAAACGTTTATCTTGTTGAACATTATGATATAATACTGGAATACAACCTCAGACCGCAAAAGTCAACCAAATCAAACATTTACTTAAATAAGAAAAAAAAAACTAGGTCTACTTTTCACAGAAAACAGTTCAAAACAATTTCAGTCAACAAGGGATAAACCTTCTAATAAAGCAAATTAATGATTTAACTGATTTTAAGGTAAAAACTAGTTCTACATTTTTATACCAAACTAGTTAAAGAGGTTTCAGAAGATCTTAAAATATCTATTGTTTATGACAGATTGTCTGTGAGTGCTAGCTCTCCAGATGCTTCAGATTGCAATGGTATAGTGAGGTTGTACAAATGGTATAGTGGTTGAGGTTGTACAAATGGTATATTGGTTGAGGTTGTACAAATGAAAAATGGTACTTTACATGCCAAATCTCATAGTTTTGAGAGTAAAATCTCTTGATTTTCAAATTTTCATAATTTTTTGGGACACTCCAATAAACATATGTACATACATGCACTCAAACACACACATATAAACACACACATATAACTGCATCTTGTTATCATGGTTTATCTTGGGAAACATCAATAAGTTAGCATAACATAATATTACTACAGAAGATCCTTAAAACTTTTAATACATTTATTCTTGAAATTTTTTAAAGTGTAAATAAATAATTAAACACACCTATATTTAAACATACGTACATGTATATATATATATATATATATATATATATATATATATATATATATATATATATATATATATATATATATATATATATATATATATATAAAACTCCACAAATTCATTGATCTATAGATAAAAAAATTTTTTGAAATGCAAATATACTTGGGACATACTTTATAATGACTGTTTTACACACAAACTTTATTATTCTGAAGTCTTACTAGAAAATATTAATGAACTATTAATCTTATTGATAATTAATCTACTTTTTATTATTCTATTGATATCTACTTTTTACTTGATTTTTATTATCTTTTTACAGGCAACTTTTTTATATTTAAATTAAGACAAACAAAAATATAACAACATATTGCAGATGTTATTCTAAACTATAATATATTGTAATAACATCATCTCAATTAAAAGAAGATACAAGTATGGCTAAAACCAGGTCTTAAACATTTGTACATCTTATTGGAATACCAGATGACAAATTTAAATCAAATTTGTTCACACCATGATTAGATGTTTTGAGAGTTTATTTTTATTTCCATAAAAAAATAGAAAAATATTGTCATAAGGATAAAAACTATATTATCGAAGACAAATGAAGTATGATGCTAAAATACCTATAGCTAAACACATTGTTTAAAAGAATCATTGTTAGCTAAACACATTGTTTGAAAGAATCATTGTTAGCTAAACACATTGTTTAAAAGAATCATTGTTAGCTAAACACATTGTTTAAAAGAATCATTGTCAGATAAACACATTGTTTAAAAGAATCATTGAAAAAAATATTTGATGTAACAAGATTTTTTAAAGATGAGCACAACATATCAAAAAAGATAATTTGTTGCTTAAATTATTATTCTTTTTATTTCATACTGATTCCATTTTTATTTCATACTGATTCCATTTTTATTTCATACTGATTCCATTTTTATTTCATACTGATTCCATTTTTATTTCATACTGATTCCATTTTTATTTCATACTGATTCCATTTTTATTTCATACTGATTCCATTTTTATTTCATACTGATTCCATTTTTATTTCATACTGATTCCATGTCAAAAAGATAGAAGATAAAACCTTTCTTGCTGATTAAGATTTTGAAAGTAAATATGGAAGATGTATGCTTGGTTAAGAAAGGTAAAAACCTCAAAGTAATGATCAGTAATGATGTGATGTCACTTGTGATGAGTATTAATCAGTAATAATATTTCACTCGTGATGAGTAATGTTTAGTAATGATATGACATCACTTGAGATAAGTAATGATCAGTAATGATGTGATGTCACTTGTGATAAGTAACAATCAGTAATGATATGATGTCACTTGTGAAAAGTAATGATCAGTAATGATGACACTTGTGATGAATAATAATCAGTAATGATGACACTTGTGATGAATAATAATCAGTAATGATGACACTTGTGATGAATAATAATCAGTAATGATGACACTTGTGATGAGTGATAACCAGTAATGATATGATGTCACTTGCAATGAGTAATGATCAGTAATGATCTACAAACTCTTATAATTGAACTTTAAACATTCTCAGCAAGAAATAAAAATGTTTTTAAGCTAACTGATAGTGCAATCAATGAAAAGCACACAATTAAAATCAATATCAGAAAAATCCTTGTTAAAATGACATCTAAAAGAAGTTAAAAAAAAAAAATTTTTTAAAAGATCTGGGAATAATCATAAGTGAATCAAGAGTTTAATGTTGAGCGCATAAAATAAAGCTATTCAGTAAGGCTATCCAGAAGAAACCATACATTAATGAAAACAATATCTTAAATGTTTTAAATATGAAAATTAATGGAATTTTCATATTTGGAATTTTCATATTTTTTATTAATGGAATTTTCATATTTTCATATTTCATTATTTTTCATATTTAAATGATTAAATATGAAAATTCTTTTTGGGATATTATTGCTTAGTCTTATAAATCAAACTTCATTTTGAATTTAATTTTTGAACCTAATTGAATAAGAAATATAATTTCAACATTTTGATTGAACATTATTGGAGCATTATTAGAAGACCTTATACAAAAAATAAGAACTTTTTCTAATAGAGGAATAGATCAAAATTACACTTTATATATTAGAAAAGTTAGTTGATTCAGCTCACTAAATGGTAAAACATTAAAATGCAGCCGTAAGATTTTGAAGCATTGTGAATCAGGCAGTTTCTTCTCAATTTTGCAAAAAAAATACTGATGAAAGAGAATAAAATTAATTAAAATAATTCTCTTAAACATAAAGATACTAATTAAACATTTTAATATGCAAAATTAAACTAATAAATCTCATATAGTTGGTCATATATATATTTATGTAAATAGAAATCATGAATTAACGAAATCACGCCATAAAGTATGAAATAAAATAGAAAAATATTTGTAATACTGATAATAAAAATACTGACATCATATATTTAGTAAAAAATGGTCCCCAGATTTTGATTGTCACCATGTAACCATCATGCGAATTATAAACCATCTGGCCTATACCTAACTCTCTGCAAATGCTGGCTCTGTTTATTTTAAATGATTTTTCTAATTTCTTAAATTTAACATTCTAGAGTAGTTGTTGATAAGGGATGTAACCATTCAAAAGTACCATGACATGTTTTGTATTAACACAATCAAAGAAAAATGGGATGATTAGGCCAATTTTCGTTCAATTCTGTTTTTCTGGTGCTTAACACATCTGGAACAGATGTCATATTTGGGCTGGTTCTTCTAACGATTCACTTTCTCTTCTTGACAAGGTCCAAAAACATATTGTAAATGTTGTTGGACCTGGACTATCTGCTAAGCTTGAGCCTCTTTCCCATCGTCATAAAGTTGCATCTCTTTCTCTTTTCTACAAATACTATCATGGTCACTGCTCAAAGGAGTTATCATCTCTAGTTCCATTAACTTAAATTCATTCTTGTTTTACTCGTCATTCAGCTAAGTCTCTTTCATTTACTGTATCTGTCCCTGTATGCTCTAAAAACTTTTATTCATCTAGTTTTTTTCTCTGCACTTCAATCCTTTGGAACTCTCTCCCATCTTCATGTTTTCCTGACTCATACAACTTTCAACTTTTCAAGTCTTCTGTCAACCGTTTCCTTGCTCTATAACTCTGTTCTTTTTTTTTTTCCTAGTAACTCCCAACTTAATAGTGGTTGCTTGCAGCCTTGTTGGGAGAGAATGCAAATAAAAAATATAGCTAATTTAATTAGAAGTTAACGTGAATAAAATCTTCACATTTTGTTTTTTAAACTTTTTTCCAAGATTAGAAACTATTAATAGTTTAATACAATAATAAGATAAAGTAGTTAAAAGAAATTAATTTATTCCTGTCAGTATGTAACTAAATTTCAAACTTTTGCATTGGCGGTACCCATAAACTTACACACAGAACAACAATCAAACTTATTTGATGCTTTTTTTAAATAGCATTTTCAAATCTGTAATATTTATGCAAAAAAAGTTTCACTATTTGTTAAAAAATTGTCCAGTACATTTAAATAGCTCTCAATTGGGGATTTCTGAAGATTTGCTTTTTTAGGCACAATTTTCACATAATTTTGTTTAGACTATTTCATAGCCAGCTTACTATTTTACACAAAGTTATGACTTGAAGCTAAATCAGCCCATAACTCAGGTTTATTATTATTTGATTTAATAAGATGTAAAAGATATTTTTGTAATCACTTTTTAATATATATTTGATCAGAAAGTGTGTACTCAGTAATATAAGGTGCTGATTTTTTGCCACATCTGCAAATAGCTCACCAAATCAAGGCTTTTTGAGAAAACTTATTATGCTTTGTGTATTAAAATTTCTGCTTTTCCACTGTATTTGGCAATATAACAGATGCCAATGTCGACAGCACCAGAAATTTTCTAATTATTGTACTTGATATAAGTTTAAGGTGGTGCAACACCAAATATTTTCTGAAAATTGAAAAAAAAAAGTGAATTTTTGATAATTCGCTCATTTGAGAGGCAATTTATTGTAAATTAATAATATAAAAAGCTTATTCCCAATTCATTTTTCAATTTTTTGATAAATTAACTAACTAAAAAAAGTTTATATAGGAATGACTAAAATATTTTATTTTCTTTCATGTTTTTCTCCGTTTTCAAATTTTAAGAGAGATTGTCTGATTGTAAACATGATATCTTGAGAAGCTAAAGTGCAAATCACCTCAAATTTTCAGAAAATGTTTATTATATTCTATATTCTAGGGACATTTATTCTACAACATATTCTATATTCATATATATCTAGGGACATTTCGAAATTTTTTTTTCTTTTTTTTTTTTAATTTCAAGGTCTGAAAAAGTTTTTTTTTTACTTGATGTAAAAAAATTGATACAATTTTTTATGCACTTTAAAAATTTTAAAATCCAAATGTTAATACCTTACCTGACATGTCTAGAACATATGTAAAAAATTTCATGGATGTTAGATATTTCAAGTTATCATGTTTTCAATGGACCCATTAAAATGAATGTTTTTCAATAAATTTGAGGCAAAGTAATTGAGGCAAAGTAAAATGAAGTATAAAATGGCATTCTAAATTGATGAAATTTCTATTGACATAAAATTTATCTTTTTTTTCAAGTTTAAACATTTTGGAATATTTGGTGGTGTACCACCTTAATTACCTTCAATAATGTTTAGAAACAAAATTGTCATACAACATTCTGCAGCAGGATTTTGTTTTTGTTTTTTTTTTGTTGCTTTTTTTTTTAGTTTTAGAACAGTTGGGCACTTAATACAATTTGAAAGAATGAAGTTCATGTTTATTTTAAGCTTTTACAACAAAACCATGAGAAAATCAATATTTTTTTGTGCAATGTTGAGGGCAATGTTGTGAAATATAGAGTGCAATGTTGAGAGGCTTGAGCTAATCTTAAAACCATTAGTTTTCTAAATAGTTTGAAATCTTGAAAACCTTTCTTTCATCGCCAGATTAGTGTTTGATTGATTTTAATTGAGAAAAACAGTGTAAGGATGTATTTGCAACTCTTTAGATAATGAATTTATTGCAGTTTTATTGGGATTTTCCAAATATTTGTTCACAATTTTTTCTTCTTCTTTTGTTATTTTAAAAACTAAATTTAGGTTAAATGTGAAGCCTAAATGCTTTTTTTTGAAACCGCAACACACTGTAAGCAAAGTACAAAAACAATTAAAAATATATTAATACAACTACTTAAAAAAAAAAGATGTATTTATTCACGTTTATTTTGTGTACACTCTTTATTTAACTTATTAATTTATTTAACTATTTATTATTCAATTTTTATTATTACTAACTATTTATTATTTATTATTATATATTTATTTAATAATTTATTTAACTAATTTTTACACTTAAAATAGTTACCTAACAACAAGACTTCTGATACAAAAAGATTTTACTATTAGTAGTAATTTGGAGTAAAACAACTATTATTAAGTAAGTGATATTTGGTTTTCTAATACATTAATTTGATAAAACAAAAACGTTTTTAGTAGAAAATAAATTGGATTTTGTACTGACAAAAATTTGAAATAAATAAATAACAAATTAAATTTTTTTTATTCAACTTTTATAACTTTTTTATTACCTGATGGTAAAGTTGTAACATTAATCTGGTTACTTTCTGTACTTCCTCCACCTGTGAACACCTCAATTTTAAATAAATAAAGAGTTGCTGGACTTAAATTTTCAACTTCACTTTCTGTTACCAATCCGCCCTGCAATATCTTACTAATGTTTTCACCAACACTTGGAATATATCCATAAATAACATATTTTCTAATAAGTCCACTACTGATCAATGGAGGAGTCCAAATAAGTTTAACAGAATAAGCACCAACATTCGTAATATTTGGAGGCAAAAAATTTTTTGGAACTATAAAATTACAAATAAAAAAAGATATATATATATATATATATATATATATATATATATATATATATATATATATATATATATATATATATATATATATATATATATATATATATATATATATGTATATATACATATATATATATATATATACATATATATATATATATATATATATATATATGTATATATATATATATATATATATATATATGTATATGTATATATACATATATATATATACATATATATATATATATATATATATATATATATATACATACAAATAGTACTGCGTACGAAGGTAAGCAATCTGACGTCATACTGAAATAGCCTGCTGCTGGGGGCTTCAGTACATACATCGACTGACAAATAGCCTGACTCGCAGTGGAATGCGGCTACATCGACTAAGGGTTTGGGATGGGAAGCAATCGTTTTATTCATCATTCTTTGTTTTTTCTTCTTCTTTTTCGAAAAAAACGGTATAGCTTAAGGTAAGCAGAAAAAGTGAGCAAATGCTTATAGAAACACGCTTTAGTAAGTGTATATATATATATATATATATATATATATATATATATATATATATATATATATATATATATATATATATATATATTATACATATACATATATATATATATATATATATATATATATATATATATATATATATATATATATATACATATATATATATATATATATATATATATATATATATATATATATATATATATATATATATATATATATATATATATATATATATATATATATATATATATATATATATATATATATATATACATATATATATATATATATATATATATATATATATATATATATATATATATATATATATATATATATATATATAGATATATAGATATATATATATATATATATATACATATATATATAAACAATTTTCAAATGTGTTGCACAAAAAAGAGTGCTCAATACGCTTTTTACAACTATTTACACACACCCAATCAATTTTTATTTTACAAAAAAAAAAAACTTTATTATCCTAAAAAAGGTGGATAAATGTCAAAACCCAGATACTACAGAAGTTCCTTAAAAAAGAAAAAAACTTAATCATAAGTAGGAACCAGACTGAAATGAACAATTATCTTTGTATACGATGAACTTTCCGTGTAATTGCAAGCATTATATGTGTTTTCAGAACACAACAGTAGAAGAGAGGGAGTTTTTACTTTCATATTTTAATAAAATGCAAAATAAAGATCAACAAAACAACTTTCATGCTTTAACGATTGAGGTTTTAAGTGTTAAACAAAGAAGACAAAAAGAAGAGAAAAAATTTCTTCATGAAAATTTCTTCATGAAAATATTTCTTCATTCTTCATTCCCTTATAACATTAAGTGAAATGAGATAACAATACTGATAGAGTTCTAGTTTGCATCAATGATATTTTATCAATTTTTGGAATTGGAAAATCAAGAATAGAATGAATAAGAGGATCTCTTGCTAAGTCTGGTAAATAAACAGAAATAAATAATTATATATTAATTAATTAGTAATTCAAATAAAATAAATTATAAGCAAATGTGTTTCAACAAGGTTTCTCTATCAAAAATAAAAACATCAAAAAAATACTTTATATGAGCTTGAAAGTTAATAGTTTGGCTTAGTAAAGTAAATAAAACATTATAAAGCTTGTATATTTGATTATTTTTTAAGGAGTTGTTCCTAAAAACCAGCAAGAAAAACATATAAATCAACCTCTAGCCTTTTCAGACCATATTGTAAATACTATTATTGAACATATCAAGTCTTTTAAAGGACAAAAAAGTCAATATCCATTACATGACACTAAAAAGTTGTATTTACCAGAGGATCTTATCAAAAATGTATGATATGTAAAAGGCTTCCCACAGAATAAAGTTTTTTTTACCAGGAAAACATTTGTAGAAAAGTTTAACATTAGCTTTAGTTATACTTGTAAAAATACATGTTCCACATATGACAAGCTCAACATTATACTTAAAAACCAAAGTATCTCAGTAGAACAACTCATCAAGAGTTGCCAAGAATAAGAGCTTCACTTGCAGAAAGCAGAGATGTTTTATGCCAGAGAAAAAGAAGCATGTTGTAACGCAAAAACTGGCCATTCAGCTCTTGCATTTGACTTTGCTAAAAATATGAGTTGTCTTATTACAATATTTATTATCATAGATAGCTTTCTATTTACACATTTAATATATACTGCTAAGGATCAAACAGTGCTCACTTATTTTGTTACAATGAAACTTACGGTAAAAAGGGAGCAGATAATGTAGCAAACATACTGGAGCACTATTTTGTCTACATTTTACCAAAAGATGTATCACATTTGCAGCTTTTTTGAGATTCATGTGTTGGGCAAAATAAGAATTAGACTATTATTCATTTTTTATACTTAAATGTAATGAATAAGAAACAATTTCAACAAATCATACTATCATTCCCAATAAGGGGCAATGGTGATATGGTATTAGTTAACCATAAGGTTCAAGCAGAGCTACCAATAAATTGGATGGAAAAGTTTTATACATGTCGTAAGAACCCTTTACCATTTGAAGTTATTAAGATGGAGTTGAACATGTTCCTAAATTTTTCTGAACACATCAAACCATTTTACAAAGCCAAATGTCCAATACCAACACGCCTATTCGTAAAATTATTTTCTCCCAAGAATTCCCAACTATGTTGCAATACAGACTCAGTTGGAATGGACCTTTTGAAAGAGTTGTTATATCAAAAACTTTTGGAAAAAAGAAGCAATTATCACAAAAACCCCTTACATGCTTATGCAATGAGAGACTGTCAAAGTATGCTGACCTTCAAGTTTTTAAACATTTTTGCACGCCTGATGCCCAGCAGTATTTTAACGATCTGCCTCACAAAGGTCAGTTTAGAGATGATGAATCAATATCAGACTTTTCTGAACGTGAGTGTATTTAAATGAAAAAATAGGAATTGATTGAAGGAAAAAAGGAAATTTTTTTCTAAATTCTTGGTTTATATTTAAAAAAAAAAATTGCATATTAAAATATTATTGAGTTTAAAAATGTAAAACTCTTGTCTAAAATGAAAAAAAATTTCACTTCTAAATTGATTTCTTTACTTAACCTATATGTACTTTTCTTTTTTTTTTTTAAGTTGAAATTTTTCTTATTTTTCATAACCTAAGAGTCAAAGATGAGAAAGCTAGCCTCAGGGAGGTGAAAGGTTAATAGAGTTGAGGGTTAAAAAGTTTGTTATAATTAGAATTAACTAAATGAACAATAATTTTTTTTTTTAAGCATATTACACAAAAGCTTATAAAAAAACTTGTCAATGGAATGTGCTGTAAATCTAAAGCATATAGGTTTTTTTTGTTTTTCTGCACATCCCCTGACTGCGATTGTTTGAATTTGAAATGATGTTAAATTTAACTTGAAAGAAATGTATCAGAACATATTATAAGCAACATATTGAACATTATTTTGGATTCTAAATCAAAATCTAAAATTACAAGGGGAAAACCAGTGATGTCCAAAAGGGATGCTCATTCCAGGATTCAATTCAGCATGTATTATCTAAATTCCTAAAAAATATTTTTATGATAATTTATCATGTAATAAATCATACCGATTTACAAACCTAAGATATATATATATATATATATATATATATATATATATATATATATATATATATATATATATATATATATATATATATATATATATATATATATATATATATATATATATATATATATATATATATATATATATAGAATTGCAAATAACATAGTAAGATATGTTTTTGAACTATATTTTTTTGTTTTCTCAAAATGAAAAAAACTTGACATCACTGGTTATCCCCTTACACACTTACTTTTGTGGATTTAGGTCAGAACTGTCATAATAAATTTTTCACACTTTAAGTTTTAAAACGCTGACTTAAATCCAGACAATTTTCTTTTCAAAAAGAAGAAGAATGAAAAAAAATGTTATATTTAAAGTTCTTCAAATCTAGATAGTACTATACTTTCAGAATCTTTTTTTTTTGTCTTGATTGTTTCAGTCCATATGAAACAATATTTTATGAGACGAGATCTGGTATGAAACCGAAAAAAACCAAGATTTTTCAAATAAGCGAAAAACTATAAAAATAACATTAAATTTTCAAAAAATTTTTTTGCTTATATGATTTTTTATTATTAGCTATATTATATTAGGCTATATTAGCTCTATATATTAAGCGCCATTTTTCAATGTTTTTAATATATTTCAGTAATCTCAGTTTTAATAGTTTTCACATTCATTTTCTCGTGCTTAAATCAAGTGCTCTAAATCTACGCTACTGCACTTAGAGCTTTTTTTAGAGTTTGTAAAAATTGGAACAACCATTTTTCAGCAGGAAAACTTTTAATTTCTGGCAATAATATGATAAGATTTATTCTCCAGAGAGATTTTTTTTCAGAAACTGAATACATAAAGAATAAGACATTAGGAAAGAAAAAGTTTTGAAACTTTAAGCTAGCAAGATCAGTGGTAGTAGAACAAAGCCTTTCAGTACAATCATCATTATTGTCACCAATAATAACAATATTTGTAGAGGGATAAGGAAAAAGGGCCAGGTCAATACGATCAGAAACAACATCAAAAAAGAATGCAGTCTTGGGATGAAGGAAAATAATAAAAGTGATAAAAGTGAAGAGGAGCTAAGCTCTTTAGTCAGAGAATTTTTTGACAAATATCTGAATCGATATAAGATTATGTAGTATGATGTGCCAACCATGTGACTATTAAAGTCTTTGCGAATCGAAAGAGAACAGCCATTAACTTAAAAATCAAAAGATAAAATAGCTTTAAATAAGTTTAAATGAGTTTCACAAAAAGCAAGTAGGTGTGGTGAAATTTGCAAAGCTAAAATAAAAGACAGTAACAGGATGCAGATAAAATATGCCCAAGATAAGTTTTTTTATTGAGACATCAATGCTATAGAAGAAAGCACATTTCATTTAATGCTATAGAGCAAAATACATTAAAAAACGAAAACAATTACTGCAACGTAAGCAGATTTTAGTCTTAATTCCTGAACGTAACTGATAATAAATTAAACACCAAGTAGATAAAATATATAATTGCATAATATGCAAAACATTTTTATTAAAAATTTGTTAAAATTTTCAAAAAATGATTAAGAAATAAAGTTGTAAAAATTTTCACTTTCACAAATTTTTCACAAAAAAAAAAAAGAAGTATAACAATATAATTTTAAAAGTTTATTTTCTTCAAGTTATTTCCAATAACTTTAATTAATAAAAATTAAAATTGTTGAAAATTAAAAAAAAATATGTCTTATTTTAATACCTCCTTCAGCTGTATGAATTGAACTCCACATGCTAATTGCAAAACCTTCTTCATCCTCTCTAAAACTTTTTACTCGTACCAAATACTCTGTGAAGTCTTGTAGATTATTAGCAATAGCATAATGCAATTTTCCTTTATAAACTTCACTTAATAATGAATTTTTACATACAAAAACATCATTTGGTGTTTGAGGACAGCCATCAAACTCAATGTTATAGAAATCTTTAACAGAATCAATGTAATCAATTGTTGTAAAGCTTAACATATCAATGCAACCACTAAAAGGTTCTATAATATCATCAGAAAATAACAATGTACGAGCATAACTGCTTTCAGGAATTCCGCCAAGATATAACTCAGAGGTTATTAAAAAATCTGAAGGCAATGTAGCAACTTGACTTTGATTATTATCAATCCTCATATTAAGTTGATTATATAAAATTTCAACTTCTACTAAATGCCACTGTCCATCGCAAATAGATGTTGAGCTTAAAGTGTATAATCCCGAATCAGAGGGTGTTTTAAAACTCAAGTATAATGTAGCATTTTGAAAATAAATGAAAAATTTTACACCTTGTCCATAAGAAAAAAAAACCAAAGCTGTTTGCTTGACAGTTCTCAATCTAAGTTGAAATTTAAACCTAGAAAATTCTTTTAAAATTAACGACTTGAGTACTAAATAACCACCATCCTTAAAATATAAACCTGAAGTAAAAGAAACAGGGCAAAAAACAGATAAAGGTGAAACATTACTCTTTGAAATAGATGAGTTAAACTTTATGGGAATTCCATTATACTGGAAATCTTTTAAACAACCAATAAAAGGCAATCTTCTTAAGACTGCAGTCCCATTGTCTACACGAATTAATTTAAAATCTTCAGGTAATGAACCAATGTAAACATCTTCAATTTGACCAATTATATTTTTTAGACCTCCTCCTGTACCTGAACCAAAATAAATGCCGTCTACTAAAATTTTTCCCTCACGTGAAAGGCGCTCTACGAAAACATTATGCCACATATTATCATTAAAGGTCTGATTGGTTGAAATCGTAAATGCTGTTGCACCACTTTCTGTATCAAATATAAACCATGGTCGACCTTCACGAAGCTCAATTGATATCATATCTTCTTGTCCTTTGGATGCAGCAAAAAAAATTAAACCATTTAAATAATTTGTTTTAAAAAAAAATTGAATTACAGTTGTTGAATCATCTGCCATAAATGATGGCTCCAGTTTATAATATCCAAAACCAGGGAATCGAATTCCTTGTTCAACGTTTGGAGGAGGGTAACTGAAACTTGGGAGCAACAGTTCCACAACAAAATTAAATTCTAAAGGACCATTGGGCATAGAAGGATTGCTCCAGGCTAATTCTATGCTTGTGCTGTTACTCCCCAAAGAAATTGGTGAACTTTGCCCTTGAGGTGCTGATGATTTTGTCATGACAGACACTAAAGTACTGTAATTTGTGCAACCAACTGTATTGCAAGCAATAACTGAATACTTATACAATGTGTAAATCAGTAAACCAATATCTATCCATTCTTTATTTTTAGTAACATTAACTAAGATAGGTGTTTCTATATTTGGTAATGAGTAACGATATAGTTCAAATTTAACAATAATTCCATTAGGTGATGATGGCTCATTCCATATTACTTTTACAGCAGTACTATTTATTGCTTCAGCAAATGGATAAATTGCATTTTCTCCTGCAGGAACTAGGAGAAGCATGAAAAATTAACATAACTATAATAATACAACAAAAATGTAGAAGAATAAATAAATAAATAGGAAGTCAAACCTTATAGTTATAATATTATATATAACAAAACTATAATCTTACCTCCTTCAGAAGTTCTTATTTTGCTCCAATTGCTTGAAACACTATTTAATATTGAAGTGTAAGATACCACACGAAACTCATAATATAAAAATGGCTTCAAATTTTCAACTTTAAAGGTTAGATTATTAATACTCAAATTTGATGCAATCAAATTTCCATCACCTAAAAATTATCTTAGAAAAGGTTACTTTAAAATCTTATTTTAAAAAATCATTTAGATAAAATACAATCTGCAAAAAAGGTACTTACCTAAAAATGGTTCTGTTCTTATAAAGATTTCATAAAACTGTATTTGACCATTGGGTTTTTCAGGAGCATCCCAAAACACAATTACAGATGTTCCTCCTGGCAATGGGAGCAAATGTGGGGCAGGCTGGCTATCAGGAGCAGTAAAAAGAGTTATAATAGATATTGGCACACTTGAAGAACAACCTTTATCAGTACATGCCTTTAATGTAAAGTTATAAGTTGTATATGGTGATAGACCAGTCACTAGCTTAAAAAATCCAAAACCAATGTATTGTGTAATTGTATTTGAAAAATTTGAGGTTGATTCTAAAATATATTCTAGTATAACTCCATTAGGAAAATCTGGTTCCTGCCATGTAGCAATAAGAGAACGACCTTTAATCTCAGATACTTGTACAGGATGTACTCCTACAGGTATATCACTAGATGTACGAAACACACCATTATCACTAACACTTGAGCCACCTGCTGTGTATGAAATAACATTGTATGAGTAATAGGTATATGGTTTAAGATTATTGTCAGTATAATTATTATCTAATCCTACAAATATCTTTGTTCTGTCTCTGTAAAGTTCATACTTAATAAGTATCCCATTTAAATTATCTGGTGGAAACCAACCAATATTTATCAATCGTGATGTTTGGAATAATACAAATGGGGCACCTTGTTGACTAGGAGCTAAATAAAAAACATAATTTTGATAATATATGCATCATGAAAAATGTTATTAAAGTCATTAAAAAATTAGATCACAAACCTCCACTGCACCCATATGGATTTCGATCTTCTAGTGAGGTGGTTCCAAGTTTGCATACATCACATTTCATACCTACCACATTTGCCTTACATTGTGTACAATTTCCATAATCATCACAAAGTTGAAATAAGCTACCTGCATTATTACATTTACAAGGTGAGCATCTATAAAAAGTTAAAAATATTTTGTAGCAATTTAATACAAAGAGGTAAATATCTAATTAATAAATGAAATTTGGATATTGTATGAAGAAGAAAACATGATTGGTTTAAAAAGAAAAAAAGTATTGATTTATTATTATTTTATTAAAAATTGCTTCTATAGTTGATTAACTTCTATAAGGATGACAATAATAATAACTCTAAGGATGATAACTATCCTTAATAATAACAGATTCTCTATGAAGAAGATAAATTGCTGTTATTCTTTATTTGAATGATAACTGATTTTTATTCCCTATGAGGGGATAACATATCATTGGGGATAGTGCAAATATACAAGTATACTTCTGGTACGGGGCATGATCTGTACTACAGATAGTTTTGAAGAAGAAATTTTTTTTTATTTTTGAACAGATTTTTGTCTCACTTTGGCAGGTAGAGAGTTTGATTCATATAATGTCAACAATAGATATTAGGTGCTAAAGTTATTAATTTATATGCTCAATATTAATTTGCAAAATTTGTCAAACACGCTACATTATCAAATGTTAGTTACACCAATTTACACCCCGACAATATTGCTACAGATCCCCAACGATATTGTTGTCTTCAAGAAAGATAATAATTGTTTGGAATGCATTATGAGGATGTTGGTTAATCATCTTGCTCTATGAGGATAAAAAATGATATTCATCTTAAATTAAAATAATTTTAACCATCAATAAGCAACAATTTATTTTTTATGAAAATGAAAATTAACTATAATTATATATGAATAAACAAGTTAGTTATTTAATTAAAAAGATTATTTGTCACTAATTTTAACATGTTTAACTTTTATTACATTTTTCTATTATCATCTCTTAGCTCTAATTTGACATTTTCTATTTCACTTTTATTTGCATACAATTGAATGGTTTTAATTTAGTAAATTTTCATGAAAAAAATTGAATTCGACACAACTAAGGTGAATGATCTTTTTATTGGTAATAAAAAGATAATTTTTACTTTTTATAAAATTATATAGAAAAACCAGTTTTTCACAGTTAATTGTCAAGTTATTTGCTACTTTATTTGTTGTAGTTGTATATTATTAAAAAGTAATAATTTTTGGTATTGTAACATTTGTTTGAATGCATTTGCTTTGAATTTTAACTATTTCTTATTCACCACTCTTGGAAATATTATATTATTAAAGTAACTTAATTATTTTAAAAGCCACCCTACTCCTTTCTTATTTATTGCGTTGGCATAATTTATGGGGTTGCCCATAAATTATGTCACGCTCTAGGAAGGGGGAGGGGTTAGTGGTTTTGTGACAACTCAAACAGGACTCATTACTAAACTATAACAATGATGTAACAAGGGGGAGGGTGTCAAAAACAGTTGAAACTAGATGTAATTTATGGTCAACCCCTAGCAAAAATGGAGAGTTAAAAGTATCCAAAGATGTGATTTGAAGCATTTTGTAAATGCAATACATAGTAGTGAGGCTGCACAGAGCAGTAAACGCATAACAAATCATGACAAAATGTAGTAATTGTTAAAGGCATAATAAAAAATATCTGTTGTCATGATAGATAGATTTAAATGTTTCAGTTGTATCTGATCTGATGATGATGATAGATTTAAATGTTTTAGTTGTATCTGATCTGATAATGAGTGTGAGTTAGTATATCATGCAGTAGTGGTTTAATAGACTACAAAACAGCTTAGCTGTTTATTTGTGTTCATAGTGTAACTAAAATGTATTAAAAGTGTCCAAGGTGGAGTAATTATTCATTTTATGAGTGGTTTTTATTTGGTTTGTGTTTTAGTAAGATAAATGTTCACCATACAAGTTGCAACAGACCTCCATATTGACACAGAGACCAGAAATAAACAAGGTGGTGTTCAGTAGAACATGAATAAAATTGTAGACAGTTATCAGGGCAGCAGAATGAACAGGAATTTATTGTGTTATAATGTCGGTGAGTATAGTAAACTATTTATAGTACTAAAAGTTGTACAGATAATACTTATAGTATTTGATAATTAATACTTATAATACTTAAAATGATGTATATTATTTGTATAATACATGTGTTGTATAAATGTCCCATAGATGATTGTGCATGAAAAAGTGTTTTCTAGGACAGTATGAATACAAGATGACCCCCAGCTTTCATCCCAGACTGGTATCCCTTTGTGTTTTCTTCAAAGGGCTTATCACAAGGTATTTTCAAATTAACAGATGGTGTCAATCCAGGAAAGTCCTGTGGGAGACCAAGAACTATCCTCCAAAAACTAACAATATGATACAAGGTTTGGCTGTCAAAGACACAGATTTTAAGCTCACAAATTCTTACTCAACTAACTCCACATGTTATTGTAACGACAAGTGGTAAAGTTTTTTAAGCAAAATTTTTATAGGCATCGTCGTCATCGTTTTAGCATCCTTGTTTTCACACTTGGACCAGTGACACTTCTCATGAAATAAGAATTGGCATTACAAGAAGTGTCACTGGTGACATACCAGATGGTGGCTTGTACGAGAGCGACACTTCTTTTCTATTTCTCCAATATACACAATTTTGAGCATCTTCTTCCTAACTAAAATTTTTTCATTTTTCATTTTTTTCATCCATGTTTTCCTTATTTTAATTGATGTTTATGTAAGTTTTTATATTTCTTTTTTCTTTCTATTCCTATTTGTTTTTTTACTCCTATTTTACTTCTATTTGTGTTTTATTAACCCTCTAGTTTATAATTTTCACTTTTAACAAACTTTAACATTCTATAAATCAATTAAAAACCTTTACAAATCAATTTAAAAAGTTTTTACCTCCACCTATTCTACATTTTTCTGTCAAAACTAAATGCTCGATCTTTTTCTGTTAAAACTTTTTACATGCTCAATCTTTTTCTGTTAAAACTATCAGACACACTATTCCTAATCTCTGTCTAAACTCATTGCTTCTTTTTTTAATCTTTCAGAATCATAAAACACATACATATGATCATCGTCTTCACTGCTCTTTTTAATTTGCCCGGGTAAACATTACTCTTGCTAATGATGCTTTTTCTGGTCCAACAACAGATCTAATTGCATATCTGAGATAACAAAACTTACCAACACACTACATCTTTACATCAGTGTTTATTTCAATCTCTTTATTGACTGCTCTGTATTTCCCAAAAGTATATTTCCTACATTCAAGACCAACAATAGTAAAAGTACCTAGTATACCACTACAATTTTTGTGAACCAATTTTTTTAAGTCAGATATATTTCTCCTATCCTTTTTCTAAAAACACGAGTCCTATAAGAGAGCAGGACATGTGGCAGGTTGCACTGGACCATAATCAATGTGTTAACTTATTTGTATAATTGATCCAATATATTGGTTAATATATTGGTAACTAGTTTACTACTAATATAAAACTACTAGTGTAATAAAACAACAGTAGTAATAATAATAATAATAATAATAACAATAATAATAATAACAATAATAATAACAAAAATAATAATGAAATTAAAACTTACTTTCCGTTAGAAAAATTAAAATATCCTTTTGCACACTTGTCACATCTCATCCCGTCAACTCCAATATTTGGTTTACATTCACAACTTCCATTGTTATTACATACATTTGATAATGAGCTCATTAGATTACATTCACAGGGTAAACAACCAAAACCAGCAGAATTCCAATAAAATTCATCAATACATTTATTACATCTTGTATCTGTAACATTTGGACGACAATTGCATTGACCAACAGAGCTGCAGTTTAACTCACCTAAGACAAAATAAAGAACAACAAAAATTAAGAAAGTAAAGAAAATTAAGAAAGTAAAAATTATCTACAATAATGTACCTTTTGGTGTTACATCTCCACCCCAGGTTCCTCTTGAATCACAATTACATTTAGCACAACCTTCTTCATTTAGATCAGTTAAACCAAATGTTCCAGCTTTACATAAGTTACAAGTTCTGCCAGTAACATATTTTTTACAAAGACAAGAGCCATTATTTGGATAACATTCTCCTAATGAAAAAAAAAATAGAAGTAAATGAAATACTTACCAGAGGTAGAAAAAGAACTCTATACTTTCTAGCTTAAGTATACTGCAAATGGTGTTTGTTTACTAAATAAATTTAATCATTTAAAAATGTATGTTTGCTAATTAAATTTAATTATTTAAAAATGTATGTTTGTATAATTCTTAACCACAAAAACCAATTGACTGTAAGCTTCTTTTTTTTATTTCTGAATTACGTTTTTGTTATTTTACTTTTTAGTATTTTCTATTCTTCTTTTATATATACTTTTCTTTTTTACTTTTATAAACTGAATTATTAAGGAATAGGCAGTAATTGTCAAACCTCGGAATTAGGATCGGCATTCGGCAATGCCAACCTAACTTTTTTTATGTTATTTAAAATTGCCAACCTCGTTTTTATGTTCTATGGTCGGACCTTTGTATCATTTTTGCCGACCTGATGCCGACCTTAAAAAGATAGAAGTTGGCAATAATTTGCTGACCTCATTTTTCCTAATTCCTAGGGTTGAATTGTACATCACTATACTTATTTATGGGTACAGTAGAGTTTACATACATTGACTAATTTAGCTATAGAGACAGCATAGTGTACATACATTGACTGAGTTAGCCATAGATACAGCGAAGCGTACATATATTGACTGGGGATTTTTGTTTGGGAAGGCAGTCTATTAATTTAAAGATTAATATTTTTGAAGTTTTTAAATATATTTTAGCTTTTTTTTTTTTGAAGTTTTTTAAAATTTTGGACGAAAACTATGATTATTATGAAAAAAATTAAAATATACCAAGCAAGCTTATTGAATTTAATGTTAGTGTTTATATGAGTACTTGTATAGTTTAAACACGTTTCCTTAATGCCTTTTTTATTAAAATATGACATTATGGTAGAGTTGAGGCAATGTTTTTAAACTGGATGTCTTCCCAGGTGTTAAGTCCTTTTTTGCAGATTAGGAATGAGTTTTTTTAATCGTGATACAATCACTGAAAAAAAAATATATATATTTTTTTTTTTTCAGTGTATATATATATATATATATATATATATATTATATATATATATATATATATATATATATATATATATTTCAAATATATATATATTTCAAATATATATATATATATATATATATATATATATTTCAAATATATATATATTTCAAATATATATATATATATATATATATATATATATATATACATATATATATATATATATATATATATATATATATATATATATATATATATATATATATATATATATATATATATATATATATATATATACAAATTACAAATTACAAATTGTATAATTTGTATGGAATTTTTGAAACTGTAGTTTAAATGTTTTGTATTTGAAGCATTAGGTTAAAGTTCAGATTAAATATTTCAAAAAGTCTTAACTAATCTACCATTACTTTGATAATTATACCATATACAATTGACCATAAACATAAAAAAAAAAAAGCACACACACATAAAAAAAAAAAAAAAACTCAACAAAATAACATCTGAACATAATTTTTGCACCCAATTTTTAATTTCATGATTTTTGAATAGTATCATAGCAGCCATAGAGTAAATGTATTCATTGGGTGCTTGGAATTATCAAATATCTATATGCAGTAAACTGCACAAAATTATTATGTTCCCGCATCTAGAGTATGCTTGTGCTTTGTATTCACCATACTTCAAATATTAGTTGTTAAAAAACAGGAAATAATGTTAAAAAACACTTTAAACAATGTTATTCAAAAATATAAACTGAAGAATCTTAAAATGTATTCTAGTACAATGATTGCCCTGGATTCACCACCAGATTACTCCGTGTAGTTACTTCAATAACAAAATATTAGCTGTTTTAAAAAAGCTTAGATAAACACAATTATTTTAAAAAATGGCAAACCTCAAAACGCTTGCGTGTAACATTAAATTAATATTAACATTATTAATATGGTAAAAAATACTAGTATAATAATAATATACCATATTAATAATAAATTATTAAAATGGTAAAAAATACTAGTATACAATACAATAAACATACCTTTGTTTAAAATCGTTCCTTGAATAACACAATTACATGGACTACAGCCTTCAAAATTAGTTTTGCTTAAATTAAAAAAACCAGGAAGACATGTATTACACTCAGTGCCAGTTACATACTGTTTACAAAAACATTGACCAGTATCTTTGTTACATTGAGTGCCATCTAAATATTTGAAGAATATATTTTAAAGTAATTTTAAAATTTTAAAATGAAATAACAGGATTTAGTAATTTATTGTTCATGCTGAACTTGATAACAATGATAATCAATACAAATAAATAAAACTAATGAATGCCATTGTTCATCTATATTTCATCTATTTCTGCTATGCACATAACTGTTATTAATAACAGTTAATAAATGTTAATAATATTATCATTATTATTATTAATATTATTATTATTATTTTTATCTTAATTATAAAAGCTTTTAAGATGTTATACCAAGTAACTGTTACCAAGTAATTGCTTCTTTTTGTTTGATCTTTTTAATTTGTTCCTTTTAGCATTTCTGTTTGATTTATAAACATTTTTGCTTGCTATATGTCTGTCTTTAAAAAGATTTTTTTTATTTTTAAAGATGGAAACAATAACTAATGATAGTAAAGATAACAGTGAAAACATCAATATTGACAAAGATTTGTATTTATCTTTAAGTTGCTACTATTTCGTCTTGCATCTTTGAAGTTTCATCTTCATTTTGTTTTTTAGTGCATGAATTGTTTGAAGTAAGCTGCATCTTAGTTTAATTTTTGAATTTACAGTTTGAATATCTTAAAGAAAAATATATTGTTGTCTATATATAGTTAGTTGAAAAATGATGATACCCCAAGCATTTTGTTTTATTGAGACAGGAATCACAATAAAGAGAGACAAAGTGATGAAAAAGAAACTTTATTTACAAGTTATTTACATGAATTAGTTGGAAGAAATTTGGTCACAAACAAAAAATTTCAATGAACTCATAACTTTTGCTTTATTTTTTTTTTTAATGAACTCATAACTTTAGATTTAATAAATTTGTAATTTTTAAAAAATTTGTTATACTTCTTATATCAGGAATATATTAAAACAAATAATTTGTATGGAATTTTTGAAACTGTAGATAAAATGTTTTGTATTTGAAGCATTAGGTTAAAGTTCAGATTTCAAAAAGTCTTAACTAATCTACCATTACTTTGATAATTATACAATTGACTTAAACACATAAAAAAAAAGCTCAACAAAATAACATCTGAACATAATTTTTGCATTTCAATTCCTAATTTCATGATTTATGAATAGTGTCATAGCAGCCATAAAGTAGGTGTATTCATTGGGTGCTTGGAATTATCAAATGCTTCTAAATGCAATAAACTACACAAAATTATTATGTTCCCACTAGAGGAGGGGGGGGAGGGTCTTAATAAATGGGTTTGTAGGAATTCATTTTTTAAATTTAATTTCAATTAGATATCAAATAAAAAAATTTTAAAATGACAAAAAAATTAAACTTGCAGCTGTTGACTACACTTAAATTTTTTGAAAACCTAAAAGTAAGTTTAAATTCCTTTCCATTAATGTCTATTGTTAAAAATGATTAATGATAGTTTTGTTACTGGAACTTACTTTAATCATTGACTAAAAATAAAATAATAATAATAAAAGTATTTATTTTGATGAGTATTGTGAAAATAGTAAAATTGTTACTGTCTATTTATATTATGAAAATAGTGAAATTGCTGCTGTCTATTTTCTCTCATTGTAAATTTTGTTATTGGAAAGATATTTAAAAACTAGAACTTTGTTATTTTTTATTTGTGAATGATATTTTACAATGTAAATGATATTTAATTGATTATTATTTATTATTAATTGTAACATAATAAATGAAATTTTGTAACATTAAATTGATATTTGATGTAACATACATCAGGGTAAAGGTTAGGGTTGGCATTAAGATAACCTGCCCTGACCCAAATCCTGATTTGATTTAAGTTCACTCCTCTTTTTTGGCTTTGGCTGGTTATTATTGTTGTCATGTAACAAGAAATTTCTTATTATTAAGAAAAATATCAAATAATAACAATAATAATAATAATAATAATAATAATGATAATAATGACAGCTTTAGACCCCCCATTCCATTTCTTAATGTTTAATTGGCCATTGCAAAAATGATTAGTTAAAAGTAATCAAAATTTAAATCAAGAGTTTTTCCCAAAATAATAAAACGCAAAAACAAAGATTTACTCACTTATAATGAAAAAAAAAGCATTTTTACCAATCATTTATAAATCAACAAAATATAACAATTGTCAACTTTGTTCATCTATATCTTAAAAATATGTAAATAAATTATATATATATTTATAACAATTAATAAATAATCTAACGAAATATGTAAAAAATATATCTTTTTAACAATTAACAAAATTTTAAAAACTAAAGGAAATATAAAACTTGTTATATTGTTATTGTTTGTTTTTCTGAACTGCATAAATGCGTCATAGGATAAATTAAAGTAAAAACGTAATGGAGTTACATTTTTACTTTTAACCTACCCCAGTCAAAAAGGTTAGTTGTGTTTTTGTTTATATATTTATGTTATTAAAGCCCTTGAATATGACTGTTGTTCCATCTTGTTGATAAACAAGCATATAGCTTGTAAATTAAAAAGTTGATGTACAAACTATATGCTAAACCAAATATACCTTGAAAATAAAAAAGTAAATAAAAAATTTTTCTGCAGTTGGTGAAAAAATTAAAATGCTTGTAAATACACATAAAAGAAAAACTTTTTATATATCATTAATATTCAAAATTCATATTTTACTTACCCATAGTTCCATTTATATTACAAGCACAAGGTTGACAATTTGGGCCAAAAAACCCTTGGGCGCATCGATCACATGCTCTCCCTTCAAATTTATCTTTACAAGTACACTGGCCAGTTAGTGAATTGCATTCATCAGGCGCTAAAGATCCAAATGGGTTGCAGTTACAAGGATAACAGCCAAGTGGGTTTAAACTACTCAATCCATAATAACCTTTTTGACATTTTGAGCATGTGACACCTATCACATTTTGTTTACATACACATTGACCAGATGAAATGTGACAAGTTATTTGACCGCTAACAGTTCCAGCTGTATCACAATTACATTGTGTACAACCTTCCAAATTAGTGGCAGAAAGTTGGAAATAACCTGCTTCACATTCAGTACACTGGAGTCCAGTAGCATACTTTTTACAGTTACATTGACCAGCTTCAATACCTGGTGTACTATCATCCTAAAAAAATTATAAAATAAAATTTATACCATTTTTTTTTTATATCCAAAAATTGAACTAAGTTAAAAATTAAAAAAAAACCTGTTGACAATTATGATTTCCAAATACAACTCCAGGCCCAACACAGTTACATGGTTGACACACATCAATTGAAGAAATATTTTTTCCTTTTGGTCTGTAGTACAATGGCTTACAGTTCTCACAATATCTTCCCATAGTATTATGTTTACAGGAATTACAAACTCCTCCACCAGCAGAATTTCTACTATTGAAATTTGCATCAAGTGAACAATAGTAAGAACAAGAGTCTGCGTGATTATTACACTGACATTTCTTACATGGGTTTGCTTTGAAAATTGTACCTCTCAAAAAAGGCTTGTCATTATATAATGGTAAACATCGATCACACTATATAAAAGATACAACAAAATAAAAAACTTATAAAACATTATAAAAATTTATTATATTTATACTACACATATGATACTGATACAAAATCATTTAATAATCAAACAGAACCTGCTCTCCTTCAGTAAATGTTCTTGGATCACATGCACAGATATATTTTGGGTATGGCTTGGCATTGTCTAAGTATGTGCAATCAGAACCATGACCATGACAATCACATCTAAAATATAGAAATATTATAAAATAATTTTATAATTTTTTATAACATTTTATTTAGTCAAGTTATACTATTGGCTGGTGCAAGTAACCGGGGCCCTGACCTTGGCCCCAGCTAAAAATGAGACTTTTTGCAAACCCTGCCCCAGCAAAATTATAAGGTTTAGCAGGGGTTGATAGCCGAGGCTAGAAAAAATTGTATAATACTTTATATATTATAATTTTAAACTTACATTTACTATTTATGAAACACTGGCATATATTTATATATTTTTAAACTCTAATTTACTTCTAACGAGGCATATATTTATATATTTTTAAACTCTAATTTACAACAACTATTAAATTATGAGTATCTTTAAAATAGAGGATAGATTAAAAAGCTTGGAAATAGTTAACTGAAGACTTAAAAAGTTGTAGGTTTTATAAAAATGAAAAACATAAAGATGGGCAAAAGTAATAAAGTTTTTTTGATTTTTGTGCAAGGAAAAAAACTGAATTAATAAAAGTTTTTATAGCATAAAAGGACAGATACAGTAAAAGGATGTAACTTGTTGAATAAGAAGCTGCGCAAGAATCAGTATTGGTTTATCGTAATAGAGATAATAGCTTTTTTGAGCATTGACCATGATTAGAGAAACAGCATAAAAGAGGAAGCTAATGCCTGATGATGATGAAAATCATGATCATGATGATGATCATGATCATGATGGTGATGATGATAATGATGATCATGATGATTATAATGATGATGATGATGATGATGATGATGATGATAATGATGATAATGATGATGATGATGATGATGATGATGATGATGATGATGATGATGATGATGATGATGATGATGATGATGATGATGATGATGATGATGATCATATGGATGTGCGGTAATGCAACTAAAATGTTCTGTATCGCAACGCGCTTGTTCGGTAAAGCATCTCTTGTTCGTTATTGCAACTTTTCAGATTAGATTTTGTCCTTTTTACTCAAGACAAAATTTAATCTAGAGATGGCTATTTTAAAGAAGTCTATTGACAAAGTTTAGATGTGGAACTTGTTATTTGCAAGTAATTTAGTTATTTTCTTTTTTTATTTACAAATATAGTGTTAAAATTATAGATAGGATATTTTTAAACATTAATAATATAATTTCAAAGATTTTAATTTATATTTACAACAGCTATGTTGTCTTCTTCTTAAATATAAAGATTTAGTTTAAAAAAATTAAATTTTTCTCTTGTATTATTATGTGTATTTAAGTAATATATCTGGCGAAAACTTTTAATCAGACTCAAACATTATTATCTTTTGTTTCTTTAAAAGGTAATAATGCTTATTTTACAAATAAAAGACATTAAATAGTTTTACCATATTTACAATAGTTTAGTTTAAATGTTACTATTTTATTTGGCAAGTTTAATCAAAACTATCTATTAAAGTTAGTTTAAAGTTTTTATTATTAAATTTTCTCAAATATCTTCCTGACCGCTGAATTAATTTCAAACAAATGTGCAGCTCAGTTAGGTTTCGAATGTTAAAGCAACTTTATTTTTTTCTTTATAGTATAATTTCAAGAGTTGCTTTCAAAACCTGATGAAGAAGATAAATGTTGTTATTCTTGTAATATATTTCATATCTTTTTCAAAGTTGTTTTCACAAGTGTTTAAACATTCAATTAGGGATTGTCTATATATTTTGCAATGCAAAGTTGATTTTAAAAAAAGAAGTAGATAATATTTAATTCTTTTACATGACAAAACTTTTAGAAAAAAACTTTTGATCTCTTATGTTTTGTTTATAAGTGAAATTTAGCGTTGTATAATTTATGGACAAACCCTATTCAATTCCACATTTAAATCAAAGAAATTCACTAATACTTTAATTTTTGCTTTTTCTATTTTTTTATTTTAGAAATTCATGGAAAACCCAGTTATTTTACCTAGCTTTTAAATTAATAATTAGTTTTTAGACTTGTCCTAAAAGTTAGTTAAAATTACGATACTTACAGCAACTATAATTTTATTGTAGTGAAAATTTTTTTATCGCGCAATCAAACAAAATGTACTATGCAAAATTAAAAAAAAAGACTTGAAATAAAGAGATAATTGAGTTTTTTATCCTGGGGAAAATAAAAAACTAAATTATGCTCTTTAAAGTACTTTCAAATGTTCTGTGATTGTTATAGAGTTCAAATTTTTAAAGTTACTTATAAATTTATTTGTTTTTAGGGGAAAAAGATAGATGTTTTTAAACTTCTGGATCATACTTTTAAAATACCTCACTCTATTGATGTCAACATCTGAAGCCTTACAACAGCATACCTTTCAATAATATCTAACTCAATATTACATCATTTGTAAAAATGTGCATTTGAATACAATTAAAATGTGTCATTTCTCAGAAAAATTTAAAAATGCTTATTTAAATTTTTCTAAATATGGCATGTAATTTTTTAATGCTTTGATTCAGACATTAAAGATTTGTTATCAAAACAACATTTAAAGTTTAAAAATCAAATATCTTCAACAATTACAACACAAACTAATTTGCGTAGTTTCAAAAACTGTATCAATTTGATTCTGTATATTTGTACAAAGATATCATGAGGTTTTATAGTTAATTTTGCACTTATTACATTTATATTTTTATGTATATAATATTCATAATTTGTATTTAAACAATATTCATAATTTTTACATATAAATTCATAATTTATATATATAAATTTTTCATATTTTATATCTATATATCATGGATGCGGAATCCCTAAAAAAGACTCTGGAGTTAAACGCCACAAAAAGATTACTTCTTTCTAGCTTTTAGTATCCATTAGCTTTAAAGATGTAAAAAGGCCTAAGGGTTACTAATGGGGAAAAAAATCAAGACTTAGACATCAGTAGAACAATAATTTTTTAACCCTAAGTCCAAGGTATAAAGGGGGCATAGACTCCAGAACTTCACGCTTAAAAGCAAGATTTCTTTTGAAGAATTTTTTGTTTCATAGGAGCCCTTTTAGGACTCTGCATCCCTGGTGTATATATATATATATATATATATATATATATATATATATATATATATATATATATATATATATATATATATATATATATATTTATACAAGTTTATGCATTTTACTAAACTTATGTATGTATTATATTAAATATATCTTCACATTTAGTGTCTTGTTCCAGCAATAAAGTCGTATATGAAAGATTTAAAAAGCTTCATCAACTTACAACAACATACTCTAGATTCCAATATTAGACTAAATTTAGACTTAAAAGGTTGTGACAAAACCCTGAAGATTTAATTAGAAAAAAATGTGTTTTGAGTTTATATTGTAAATATGTTACTATTGAAAAAGTTTATCAAATTGCATTTGTATGCATTTACTTGTATATTCTAGTTTAAAAAAGTTTATTATATATTAATTAGATTACTGATTTAAAACAAAGTTAGTTGATTTTTTTAATTGAATTTTTTTTACAATATAAAAATTATTATTAGGTCCAGGAATTTTAAAGACTAAATTAAATTTACTTATAAGCATACAAAAGATTCTCGTAATATGCTTCGTATCATTTGGTATGGTACAGTTAAAAATCTGTCAGTTATACAACAAATACTTTAAAAAAACAAGTGTATGACGAAATGGGTCTAAAATTTAAAATTGAGTGGAAACAAATCTGTATATATAGCTTGTGTTTTGAAATACAAGTTTTTGTTTTTTTAAATATTGATCAAGTATTTGAACACTCGTAAGTTTTTTTATTTTTCACGCTTAAAAGATAAAATTGTTTTAGGGTAAATGCCAATGTGTGGTATTTTATGGGTGCAATTTTGTAGTTTTTTTTTTACGCAAATTTATTTTGCTCTATTATCGTGCTCCGATGACTAATGGCCAATTTTTTTAATTGCAAACTCAAAACTTATGGAAGCAATGAATCATGATAAAACAAGCATACTGACAAAATATTACTGCTTCATTGGTCTAAGATTTGCAATAACCCATGATTTTTAAAACGTTCAATATCTTGCTTTGTCTTCCCCTCTCTATAAAAACTATGGATATTCTTTTAATTTTTTGGACTTCGTGAGATGGCCGTTGAAAGTGCATAAATATTTTGTAACCTACTCAAATTTCCAGATAGCCCCGTTTTAATGTTTAATATATAAAGAAAAGCGCATCAACTTTTATAAAAACAAAAAACGTTTGTCTCAAAATGATAAGATCATTAAATAAATAATCTCATTTCTAGTACAACTTAACCCTGTTTAAACTGGGTCTTGTAGGTTAAAATTACATGGCGTGCCCAAAAAAAGATTCCATTCTAATAAAGCCATTATTAAATTTATTTTTGGATAAAAATACACTTAGTTCTAATACTTTCTCTGACACAATTACACTTTTAAGGCACTTTTTCCAAATAATACTACTCAATTCTAAATAACATTATTCAATTGTTAAAACTGTAAATAAACAGCTTTTATTTACATGGTAATTTATTTATTTACATGGTAAAAATTGTTGTTTTGAAGTATGGATTTTAAATAAATTTTAAATTTTTTCTCAAGCTTAAGGTGGTCCTCCACAGAAAAGGCAAACTTTTGATAGAAAAATTTTTTTGATTTATATTTTTCACCAAAAATCTTGTTCTATAAACTATTTTAATAAATCAACTTTTAAAAATGTCTCGATTAGCCAGTTATTTAAAATAAGAGTGAAAAAACTAGCAATTTTTGTGATCAAAATATTTATCATATCAAGCTGAAAATTGGTTTATATACTAATGAGGTATATTAATACAGATAAGTGAAGCATTTTTTATTATTTATATTATATAAAAGGTTACAACACTTGAAACAAACATAAAAAAATTGCTGAACATTCTTCCAGCATTTTTTTCTCATAAAAAAGTACTTCCCTTATTTTGTTTTTAATATCTTTCAATCATCCGCATCCTTTTTAATTATGTAAAAAATCGCAAAAAAAAAAATTAGATCAAAGCTTAAACGAGTTTAAAGTTAATCATATTTTAAAGATTTGTATTCGAGGCAAAACTTAGTTTTGAGGAAACGACAAATATATAAAACAAAAGAATAAAACCATAATAAAAAGTTCATATAAACATATTAAAACCCTCCAGGAATATATTTTGAGTTTTTTCTTTATCAATTTTTTTTTATTACCTTTGTCTAACTAAGTCTTTCTTTATCATCTTTGCCTAACTAAGCCTTTTTAATTGTTTTTAGCTATTTTTCTCTCTTTTTAACACGTTCAATGGACTATTGAAAAGACCGTTTGATAGCTTCTTTATTTTTATCATTAAGTTTTAAAGACGTTACATATTCTGTTAGTTAAAGTTTATTAAGTACAAATAATATTCCATTAGGACCTTCATAAAATTCAATCTCAGACGAATTAACTGCAGACTCAAAAACCCCTCTACTCACAAAAATACGTTTTAGGCAGTGTCTCCAAATAATCTGGTTCAGTGTCTCGTTGGTGTTTTAGTTAATCATCTGAAGATAAACCAGTAAAAGTTGATTTCAAAATGTTGAAGACTGTAGCGTATGTATCAAAAATGTTTACTTGCTCTTCATAAGTATTTTCACCATGAACTTTCTCTAAATGATATTTGCACTACGTCTCAGTTTCCCTTGGGCAAATACGGTGTTGACATTCCTTGTCGTCAAAATCTGTACAACAAAACTAAACCGCCTAAACAACTTTTTTTATAACCTACAAATTGTTAAGATTGTTTCTTTTTGCTAGGCTAAGAAGTTCTGTGTAGAATTGATCAAAGATTAAGTTAACTTTCTTTTTTGATGTAATGGTGTGTTCATTCCTTTATAAGTTTGTATCTTACGAAATCTTGTGTTCATTCTCTTCTGTTTAATTTATATAAATTTTGCAATAAAAAAATGTTACAGGATTTTTAAAAATTTAGTTATAATCAATAAAATTGCTGCAAAATAAAGTTTTCTAAAATTTGTGTTAGAGAGTGTCGTCGACAAGACCACATTAAAATGGTAATTTTCCTTTGCATTTAAAGCATCTATGCAAAAAACTATGATTCTCAAACTTATGATAATAATCATAATTTTATTTTTATTGGTATATACAATTTTTTTATAAAAAATAATAAAACAGTGATCAAAACCCACTAATTTACTAAATAGGACAATATCATTCTCTCTGGTTAAGGCTATGAACTTAATTAATGAAACGCTTTTGAACTTTTATATATGAACAAACTATGAAAAACTGTGTTTTTATAAAAATCTGTGAAAATGATACCCAATTATAATTTTATTAACCCAGCAACTATTTTATTGTGGATTTGCAATGGACCTATATAAGCATTTTGAGCAGTTAATTAGAGTTTTGCTCATAAGTTTCTTAAGGAATTCGCTAAAAGTGGCTAGCCAATAACTCTTTAACATGTAATATAAAAGCTAGTTGTTGGCTAGCCATGATGACGACTGCCAATTGTGGTCCACTATGTAACCAATGAGCCTTTTCACAGTCGAAAAAAAGTGGGAAACTCTCAAAATGCCTATAAAAGTCTACTAAAATTCCGCTGTAAAATTTTTGCTGGGAAGATTGTTTAAAACAACGATTTGCTGTATGTATTTTTTTCATAAAGTCAAAATTAGTTTAAAAATACTTGAAAAATTTATTACTTTGATTTAAAGAAAGATGTCAGAAGATTGTTGTAAAGTTTTTAATTTAAAATAATTAAAAATAGTGTTATTTGTGTATTCAAAATGAGCACATTTGTTAACTATAAACGTTGTGTTAAAAACTTTATTTATTTATTTAAAATTAATTTACATAAACGTTCAATATATAGTTTTATATTCTGTAATAAAAATTTTTTTACTGATTAATTGTGATTCCGTTTCTTTACCCTGTCCTATAACACACCTCTGAGACTTTGAATAAATTCCGTTCGATTTTAGAATTATTATTTGCATCAATTTTATTTTTTGGATAAAAAAGAGTAAATAAGTTTTATCTTAAAATAGTAACTTAAAAATGATTGCAAAACAGACCTTTCAAATTCATTTATAGACGAAAACCAGAAAGTTCGGTAATGCAACCTGAGTAGTTTCGGTAATGCAACACCTCACAGTTAAAACCAAATTTCCAAAAAATCTTTTTCGTTTCAAAAGCAAAGTTTATACTTTTTAGACATTCGATTTAGTAAATAATATATCCAGCAGAAAAATTTTTCTTAAAAACGTATATAAAAAAATTTTGTTAAACGTTTTTTTTTTGAAAACCCAAGTACGAGATTTGTTAACTAATATATTATATAAAGTTTACTTGAACTCAGAAACTTAAAAACGCCATGATGATATGAAAAATGTCAAAATTTAGAAATGTGGATTTATTTAGTTTATAGCTTGATTTGAAGAAAATGAATAAAAAAAACATACCCGAATGTCATTTTTATGATCCCCAATCATAAACCCTCTTTTTCGATGCATTCGGTAATGCAACGCATTTTTTATAACGGCTCTTATATTTAGAGATTTTGCTCAAAATTTTTTTTCAAAAATAACATATCTAAAAAGTTTAGATCTTTCTTATAGGCAATACTGAAAAAAAATTTAAAAAATACTGAGCGGCACGGCAATAATCTAAAATCCTGTGAGCCGATGACCTTGTTGCAATAACGAACAGAGAACCATATACTGATGATGATGATGATGATGATGATGATGATGATGATGATGATGATGATGATGATGATGATGATGATGATGATGATGATGATGATGATGATGATGATGATGATGATGATGATGATGATGATGATGATGATGATGATGGTAATAATTATTTTGATAAACATTTTGATCATAATGATGTTTATATGTGCATATATATACAAAATATAACATGAACTTTGAATAAAAAAAAGTATATTTTATGATGTTTATGCAGCCCTGGTTACAAACCTGGCCCCACTGTAATTTATCGAATCCGGCCCCAGTCAAATATCAACCCCGGTTGCCTAACAATTCAACCGAGATTTTTAAGTACATAAAAATATTGGTTGATGTTTTTATATAATGCACCTGTCATAAAATTAAATACTAAATAAAAAACTTATACTATTGTATACAATTTTAGTTGAATCGTAAATTACAATTTCTTGTTTTTATATGTTCATATCAGTTTTTTGAAGAACTTTTTTATAAAAACTCAAATTTTAACAAAGTTAGATTAAAATATAGTTTAATTAGTTAATCTATAGTAAGTAATCTATAGGAGATTTTCAATATCTCAGAATGCAAGTCAGAATCAGGTAGTCAAAAAAAAAAGCATGTTTGAGTAAAAATAAACTTTTTTTTCCATTTTGTCACCAAACCTTTTTATTATGTTTTATTATTGATAATAGAGATTAAGAGTTATGTT